GTCCTACCGAGGTATCGTTCTATGTTTCACAAACCAAAAGAGTCCTTGACTCAAACGATCTCGTTCATGTCATTGAACCTCAATTGTCGAATACAACGCGCCCGTCGCATCCGCGGAATCGGCGGAGAAAAAAAAAGAATCCCAATATTTACAATACAAGAGCCACGGTCATTATACAAAAGAATCGAAAGGCGGTGTATTGTGAGCTGAATTCGCACCACTTATACCTCATAAATCATTCAGTCGAACCCAATTTGTTGGCGCCGACTGATGAAAAGGCTCCCTTAATATTCCTGCCCTTAGGAGATCCCTTAGGAGTGTTCGAGATTTTATTTCATCGACAGCTTTGGTCGCGACTTACATGACAGTAGGGGCCGTGAAATATTGTTTATGATCTGGAAATGTTGTGACGCACGAAGTTGACTCAGTATTGGGTTCTTATTTGCAACAGTGATTTATTTTAATGCAGATTTATTTATACAAAGGCAGTATTACCAGATAATATTTATTATAAGTACCAGAGGGAGACTTTATAGAAAAGTCGATTGCTTGGATACCTCTGTCCCATTCGTGTTTCAACCGTGAAGCAGTTGTCTTTGCATGGCTGTGTTTCGGTTTGAAGGGTGGGATATGGCGTGAATTTACTGGGTACAGAGGAATAACACCGGAGTCCTCAGGAATGGCAACGCATGGGGGGTATCATGGGCGTAACAGTACACTCTGTTATGTCCATGGTACTGCTCATGTCTATAGGCGACGGTTACCACTTTCCATCAGGTGGACCGTCAGTTTGTTTGCCATTCTAAGTTGTATAAAAAAAAAAGTATTTCTACTGATGTCATGATTATATCAAGTGTTTATTGTCCACTGCTTAACATAGGCTTACCCCATAAGAAGAGTTTTACCAATAGTCCACTCGTTTATTAAGTATTAATAAATATCATGAAAACTCTTTATTGTTTGCTTCAAAGAATGTTACTAATTATAAAGATTAACAATATTATTAATTAACTAGCTGTTGCCCGCAACCTCGTCCGCGTTTTCGTCGTTTTTCGTAAAATAAGTAGCCTATGTCCTTCCTCAAGGTTCAGTGGTTTTGATGTAACAGACACATTTCCCTTCACTGCTCTGCTCCTATTGATCGTAGCGTGATGAAAAGTCTACTGTAATCTGCCCAGGAGTATGAGAAATAATTGTACCAAGTTTCGTTAAAATCCGTCGAGTAGTTTTTGTTTCTATAACGAACATACAGATAGTCAGACAAAAATTTTACTGATTGTATTTTTGGCATCAGTTTCGATCACTAATCACCCCCTGATAGTTATTTTGGAAATATACTTCGTGTACAGAATTGACCTCTATACAGATTTGTAAATATAGATTACATAAAAGCAATATAAAGAGGCAACAATGGCGGCCTTATCGCTAAATAGCAATCTCTTTTAAACGTTCTTACGATGGAGAGGAATAATTAAAATTGTGTTTGTTCAAAGTGTAACAAAAAAAAAGACTGAAAAAAAGAAAAAAAATAATTAATAATACATACATATATTATATATGAATATACATAATACATATATAAACTTATATAAAGACAAATATACTAAATATACTGTATTAGATACTGCGACGGAGATGAGTTTTTAATAGTTTCATATTTTTCGTAGAAACTGGTAATTTTACATCTATTTTTAACTAGTGATCTAACCCGGCTTCGCGCATGTAGAATTTTCGATAATATGTAACTCTCTGATAATTTAGCTTTCTATAAGTGTTCATCCGTTACAAATAAACAAACAATCAACTATTACCTCTTTATAATATTAGTATAGATTAACAAGGACTTTTTTTATGCAACTTAGAATGGCAAACAAGCTGACCCCTTACCATCAGGTGGGCCGTATGCTTATTTGCCACCTCAGTGGTATAAAAAAATGGGTATATCAATGGTTATTTGATTAGTGTTATTTTGTTTAATTCCGCTACCATCAGTATGTGTGTGACTGCGTGACAGTCAAAGATTGACAGCTAATATGGAATGTTGTAGAACTTCTGGTAGTAATAGTGGTAGTTAATTTTCGAGTATTTGCAGTCACACACATTTAGTATGTGTGTGACTGTAAATATTCGAAGATTGACTAACTTGTAGTAGCGGAATTAAACAAAATAATTCTAATCAAATGACTTGCATAATCAAAAATCCAAATTGATTAAAATACTAAAAAAATACTACACCCACCTTAAGATAGGTTAGATGAGATAAATTAAGGACAAAGCAATTGCCATTTTTAAAGTGAAAGCTTCCTTCTCAAATTGCAATTTAAAAATCTCTCTATCTTCATCTCGAATCGCTTTCAGAGATAAGGCGTGCTCTTTCAACTCTCTCGTTTGACTTCGATATCCCCCAGGTATATATTCTAATGATGCCTTTGACATTTCAAACTGTCGTTGTGGGGCCCAATGATTCGATTCAAATGTTTAATCGACCGTTTAACCGGGCTGTGTTTGTAAGGAATTTAATTGATAAAACCCGAAATAGACTCCGAGGTGCTCTTTCGTAACGACTCGTTCGGAAAACATCATTAGTTGAAGACAAAGTATTTTATTAAAAATATTGTCAATGAAGCGTCGAGTTTTTTTTTATTTTTTTTTTATACAACTTAGAATGGCAAACAAGCTGACGGCCCACCTGATGGAAAGTGGTAACCGTCGCCTATAGACATGAGCAGTACCATGTACATAACAGAGTATACTGTATCGCCCATGATACCCCATGCGTTGCGATTCCCAAGGACTCGGGTGTTATTCCTCTTTAGCTTGTAAATTCACGCTATATCCTACCCTTCAAACCGAAACACAGCCATGCAAACACAACTGCTTCACAGTAAAAACACGAATGGGACAGAGGTACCCAAGCAAATGACTTTTGTACAAAAACTCCCTCTGGTAATATATCCAGAATGAAGAAGAATAAGGAAGAATGGATCCCATAGAAATTAAAAAAAACTGATCTTTCCACAATTGAAGATGATTTTTTATTTATTTATTTATACTTTTGTACACATCAAAATATGTCTACAGGGCGAACTATGGAATTTTATATTTTTATAAAACATAATCTTAATTATTATCGATACTGAACAATGAATCATTTTTAAACATATTTAAAAAAATACAGTGTAAATTTATTGCCGATCTTAAAAAAAATACCCTCATTATACCATTTATAATCGAAATATTTGGTAATTCAAAATTAAGAACTATTTTGTATTTCAACATACTGTATATTCCTTGGAGAAAATTGTTTATCTCTGCGAATGCTGCCCCCGAATTTCTTGTTACTATACTATTTTTCGGCATCGATATTAAGATAGAAATGGACAACGTCTCAATATGTCCTTGATCCCACAAGACGCCATAGTCGCCCTGACAAATCCCCTCAGCTGACGCGCTCAATCCCAATCTTGCTCCCAAAATAAACCCCGAAGGGGATTAATTTTCTCGTTAAATTATCTGGCAACCTTTTTCTAAAGTACCTACACAATCCTGATGAAATGTTCCATAGCGTCGGATATACGCCTGAAGTCACGTTTATTCATGTTATATCAGATTTGTATGTTTATTGGAGACCTTACAGGTGTAACATTTTAACACATTATCTATCTGATGGTTCGGGAGTTCTGTCTCCATGCAAAATAAATATTTGTATTTATATGTACATCTGTTTTAATTGTTATCAAATATATATATATATATATATATATATATATTTGATAAAAACTTTATAACCGAAATAAAAAGGGGGTTCTTAATTCGGTTTGTATTTATATTTGGTAACTCACAGTTCCATTAATTATAAACCGATTTGGAATTTTTTTTTTTTATCTGAAAGGCCATACCTTCCAGTTGATCACATAAAAATTCTATCAAAATTTGTTCGTTAGTTTATAAAAAAAAAAAATAACTGGTGTTGCCATAATTTAAAGTGACGTTCTTTTTTTAAGGAATAAAAAATTTAAATTATGTTTAAAAAAAATTCTTTTGTACAACATTGTTACATCATCATCATTACAGCATCTAACATTACAACAACCTACAACATCATTAGTCCGTTGAAATTCTCCGATAATATTACATAAATACCACAATATTCTACAGCCAACAATAAGGTCTAACTGACGGTACACCGACAACTCGATTAGAGATCATCCTATAGAATTACGGGAAATAATTGACGAGACAGCTTTGCGCATTAAGTGTTTTAAAACGTTCCTCCTTAAAAACCGGCTCTTTTGTAATTCAGAGGCAATTCCCTTAATTGCCCCTTCCTATTAGGGCTTGCGTGTCTTGGAACTTAATATAGAATTCTGAAATAAGAAAAGAATGTTTTTTTTTTATACAACTTAGAATGGCAAACAAGCTGACGGCCCACCTGATGGAAAGTGGTAACCGTTGCCTATAGACATGAGCAGTACCATGGACATAACAGAATATACCGTTTCGCCCATGATACCCCCCTTGCGTTGCCATTCCTGAGGACTCACGTGTTATTCCTCTGTGCCCTATAAATTCACGCCATATCCCACCCTTCAAACCGAAACACAGCCATGCAAACACAACTGCTTCACGGTAGAAACACGAATGGGACAGAGGTACCCGAGCAATCGAACTTGGTACAAAGTCTCCCTCTAGTAATGGTCTCTTTAATATTTAATTTAAAATGAAGATTAAATCATGAAATTGTACATGGCGTTGTTCTTTTATAGATATTGAAACATGTGTTCCTTCCACGTAGCAATGGCAGATTATCAGGAAAATATTTTGTATAAAAATCACATACATGAGTATCTCTGCCCTACGTGTTGCTACCGTGAAACAGCTGCGCCTGTATGACTATGTCTCCGACTACGCTATCGGTATACGCTAACGGGACACCAGTGAGTGATGTAAGGTGAGAACGAAACGTTATGATTGTTCCTACATGATCTATATTCCTCCAGGGACGGCGCCCGTTCGAAGGAGGGCCGGGAGTGGAGGTGGTGGCACAACACGGGGCTGCGCGCCCTCAACCGTCGCAGGCGCGACGTCCGGGAGACCACCAAGTACATCGAGACCGCGCTCGTGATCGACAAGGCGATGTTCGACCGACGCAACGGCAGCACCCGCTCGGAGGTCGTCCACGACGCTATACAAGTGGCTAATATTGCTGACCTGGTGAGTACCACGTCTCGGCGAGATATTTCTATCATTCAGTCTCGAAATATTTAAGCCTCAAAACTTTATATCTCACAAAGTCGTATACTGGAAAGTAGTAGTTATATTTAAACTTTCGCGTTGTGGGCACAAATTTTAAATAGACAATCGAGACTTCTTCATTGTCATACAATCATGTCAGCCATCATCGTCTGTCTACTGCTGAACGTAAGCCACTTCCATAGACTGTCATCAAGAACGCTCTCATGCCACTTAATCACTTATTTTGATTAAGAAACTAAACTGCTGAAGGATCTTAGGATTTTGTAAATCGACTAGCTGACTCGGTAAACGTTGTTTTACCATATACATTATTTCTAGAACTATACATGAAAATTTATCGTACTACAATTATTATATTTAATTGTCATCTTGCAACCCAATTGCGGCATATAAAAATTGCGATTAAACAACAGGAGTTGATCGTAAAAGCGTGAAAATTTGAATTTGTATGTATTTTTCAATGATAAATCATAATAAAATAAAAATGGAAAATTTTTCAAAAAATAAAAAAAATTTTTTTTGGTGAGGGTCACCCTTATCATTGAGGGGTATGAAAAATAGATGTTGGCCGATTGTCAGACCTACCCAATTTGCACACAAAATTTCATAAAAATCGGTAAAGCCGTTTCAGAGGAGTTTGGTAACAAATACCGTAACACGAGAATTTTATATATTAGATTTACAACTGACAGACTTATGAAGTAACAAACGTACCTAAAACAAAATACAACCGTTTTTGAGTACCTACTTTTTTTTAAATCCATTGCTAATGCACAACGTAACGGAATCCTCAAAAGAAGAAGTCCTTGGAAGAACTTTTTTTTTTTTATGTAGATATATTACGGGATTTCTTGCAGACTATCATTTTTATTTTATACAACTTAGAATGGCAAGCAAGCTCACGGCTCACCGGATGGAAAGTGGTAACCGTCGCCTATAGACATGAGCAGTACCATTATTATTTATTTTTACTATTGCACATGTTGAAATATGTCCACAGGACGGACTCGATGCCTGATGACTTTCTTTAACTGTCAACCGTTACGATAAACAGAGGTAGTAAATGGCGGTGCATTGATCTAGCAAAATCAATTTTTTTTTATTATTTATTTGAACAAAAATTTATTTATTTAAACTTTAAAGCCACAGTAAAATTCTATGTACATTTGGCGTTCTTAACACCGGACGGTGTTCACCAATCAACCTAATAAAGTAAATGAAATAAATATTTTAATAAATAACAACATTAATACTTTTTAAGATGTATGAACATACAAACATATAAAATAAAATACTTACAGAAAATATACATACATAAATCATATATAATACTATATACAATACATATTAATATAACAAATAAAAAAGTCATGGCTAATCATACAATAATATGACAGATTGAAGCTATACTTTCTAAACCTTCACATTTTTACGTTAAATAAAAAATAAATACATATTAAATACGTATATAAGTATTATAAATGTTGCAGTCAATACTCGTAACCAGTCAAAAGTGCTACATACTAGGAAAATCAGTTAAAAGTACAATATACTAGGAAAATCGGACACAAGTACATTTGACCATATGCTTTAGTCAATAATGCTTTAAATTAAAATAACATTTAAATTACCTAACCTAACCAAACCAGAGGGGAAAGGAATTGTTAGTAACGGAGACTAAGAATCCCATTGCTAGCAATATACCCAACCAGGTCGACATCCTCGCGGTTCCTCCTGGAAACTATCATGGTTAATTCTCGATGAATTCATCATGATGGGCTAACTGGCCTGTTTTCATTCTCATCGATCACCCTTCACTGGTGCTCCGCCAGCGTATCCCGTTAGCGCAGACGGGGTTACCATACCATTTTCACCCATGAAAAAAAAACCGCATATTTGCAGTCAAAAGTACTAATAACCAATAATTCTCAGTCAAAACCACTTTTGACAAACCTGTTCAGTCAATAGCAGCTAGTCAATAGTACTTTTGACCGGTTAAGAGTTTTGTCTGCAACATAAACATGTTTATAACGTCCATATAAATGTGAAAGCCCAAAATTCACGTAACTATGAAAATATGTTGGGGAAAAAAGCACGCACACACAGGCACTGGTGCGGAGAAAAGCAACGCGATAAAATCCCAAGTATCCTTGAACCCCCATGTCTCCGTTCCTGCAATAACCATTTACTCCGTTGCGCTATTATGGCCCGAGCTTAGCAGACCGCGAATGTCATACACTAGTCCCGAACACGTAGGCCCTATGCCGTTGAAAATAAAATTCAAAATTGGACAACAAGTTTCGGACTGGAGCTAGAAGTGGCCGCGCCGGCAGACGATAAAAAGCAGGGATTACACAGGGCCCAGCTGTAATAATATTAGGGTTGACACTTTGAGGTTGCAGAAAGAGGGATAAACAAAACTGACACGCTTCCTTCTAAGGGTTGCAAGTGGCACGACGTTTTAAGATATTACGTGATATGCCTGCCCTAGCCTATAATATATATAACAGCGATGTATCCAGATGAAATGTTTTTTTTATAGAATTTTTATTACTTTGACCTATTTAAATGCTTTTTTTTTTATAACTTGAAATGAAACAAGCTAACGGCCCACCTAAACTGGTAATCGCCATTTATAGGGATAGTAAAATACACAGCCTACTGTATAAATACTTATGTGTTGCCGCGTCCTTATTCCTGAGGTGCTAAGTGTTATTTTCCCATATCCATTATTTTGTCCATAGACTAAAATGACCGTTTACAGGATGTATGCTTGTTAACCATTTTTATGGTATAAAAAAATGCATAAATTAAAATTTTCAAAACTCAAATGAGCACGTAATTCAGCAAACTCCTACAATAAGCAACAAATTAAGATTAATATAAAGCTAAAATAAAACTGAAAATGAGGGTGACCAAATTTTGTAGCAGGACAATACACAAACAATACACAAACAATACACAACATATGTATGTATGTTGCTATATTTACATCACATATTTTCACCACATCTGCCCTTCATACACTTTCCGTTTCTACCTAATGGTTAGCTGGTAGAGAGTGCCATATGACATTTTTTTTTTATACAACTTAGAATGGCAAACAAGCTGACGGCCCACCTGATGGAAACTGGTAACAGTCGCCTATAGACATGAGCAGTACCATAGACATAACAGAGTATCCTGTTGCGCCCATGATATCCCCTATGCGTTGCCATTCCTGAGGACTCAGGTGTTATTCCTCTGTACCCTGTAAATTCACGTCATATCCTACCCTTCAAACCGAAACACAGCCATGCAAACACAACTGCTTCACGGTTGAAAGTTTTATTGTAGGTACAATAAAAAATAAATAAAATAAATAAATAAACAAACAATCATAGAAATGCTATCTAAATAAAATTAGCAACAAATCAAAACATTCCAACAATTAACTGATTTTCAATCTACTTTAAAAAGAAAAAAAAGGAGGTACTCAGTTCGATTGTATTTTTTTTATATTTGTTACCTCATAACTTCGTCAGTTGTATATATATATATTCTTTATTGCACTAAAACATACAGTAACAATAAGTTAATAACAATGTTAGCAAAGGCGAATTTATCTCTAAAAGAGATTTCTTCCAGTCAACCTAACACAGCGGCACTGGAAGTAGTGAGTGGACAGTAGTAGTGCTAAACAGAAATTAAAATAAATATTTACATAAATTATAAATCATTATATATATATATTTGAAAGATACAATATTAATACATACATATGAATATAAACCTACATAAATAAGAATATATATACATATATATAAGTATCTATACAACAAATGTAAATATGAAAAATTCTTTTTTTGTCTGAAAATATATATATATATATATATATATATATATATATATATATATATTCTTAATCAGTAAATACAGAATTATTTATTTCTATATTAACTGAAATCGGTTTTTGTATAAAAAAGAATCTTAGTTATTTTTATTTTTAATACTAATTGCTATCGGCATACTATCCCATGATCGGGTCATTTATTCGTTTGTTTAGATTTTCATTAATTTCTATTGAAATATGGTGTATATTAAATATTGACAATTTTATATTCTTTCCAGTATTTCCGCACCCTGAACACGAGGGTGTCTTTAGTATACATTGAATCCTGGCAGAGCGCGGATCAAGCAGACATCGACAGGAAGCAGGACATAACTCGCGCCATACTCAAATTCAGTGATTACACCGCCAGGAAGTTGTTCAAAGTCGACAAGGACACCACGCAATTGCTCACGTAAGCTTTAATCTTTACGCATATTATAAACTAGCTGATGCCCGCGACTTTGTCCGCGTAGTGTTTATTGTCTGGGAATACTGGACAAAAATTAACAGATGACGTGTCGTTCTCACTCTTTGCCTTAAGTTAAAATAACTTTACTTAAGTAGATTGTGTGCTAAGCTGTATTAGTTATAAATTTGTAACTAGCCTACCGGAACTCTTTAATTTTTCATGATTAAAAGAGTATCTAAAATGTTGACCGGGAATGTAAGGTACCACCATGCATGCATTCATTTAAATCGATCCAACAGTTTTGGAGATTAGCCCAGACAAGCAGACAGAGAAACAAAAAATTTAAAATAATCTGGATGTGCTCTATTTCACTTCTAACATCCTCCTGACTCAGTTCTTTGCGTTTTTTTTTTCTTCTATATGCAGACATTGTTTTAAAAAATAACCATAGATTTACATAGATTATTTTTTATTTAGTTATTAAAACTTTGACTAGTGAGAAATCGTCCAAAAAGGTTACAATTAACAAAAGATAACGGAATACAAAACCTAAGAACAAGGAATTAGATAGAAGGAATGATAAAAACTGTAAATCATATGGTTGCTTCCTTTCTCCTTATGCAAATATAATAAGTAAAAAGAGGACAAAAGATACACCATCATTTGTCATTTTTCTCAATTCACAGCAGGCTAGTGTATAGAAAATGTTTGATATGTCAATTATTTATCAATGATAAATTTTACATTACTAGATTATACATTCGACACGGTTTATGTGGAAAGTATGCAAGCAGGTTGTATCTGAATTCGGTAGGATTATACGGCCGTATAACATTTTCTATACACATGCCTGCTATGAATTGACAATTTTATCACATCTTCTATGTAATTCCTTGTTCTTAATACGAAACTGGTACAATATTTACATACGTATGATTTGTTTTAATCTATGGTTTAACTATGTAGTTAAACCATAGATTAAAACAAATCATATACAAAAGCATAGATTAAAAGACAAAAAATATTAAAAGTAAATATAAAATTCTTCACTTCACATATAATTTTATTTACAAAAAAAAATAAGACGTCAAATGATTTTAATTTTATATAAAATATACATAATTTAATATTATATATCCTCAATATTTAATTATACCTTATAATACAGTGCTTTCAGATGCCAACGCCATGTTTTAGATCTCAATATAATATTTTTAAAAGCATATATAGCTCAGGACGTGACTTACCTAAACGTTCTTACTTTTACTTGTCATTCTTTAATCTCGCAGCTGTCGTTGTCATTCCTTCTCAAAGGAAGTGATTTTTTTATAAAAAAAAAAATGTATTTATTGCATAAGGAAAATGTATAAAAGGATAAAAGTTTGCCATGTAAGTGAGTTTTCGCACTGCGAATTTTCATCGTTTTTTCCACACGGATTTTTTCAGTAAATTGAATATTACCTACGTTCGTGCATTCTCTCACTTTCCCTGTGGAAAAACCGCGCGGCGAAAATTCGTGGTACAGATATAGCCTTAGATAGGGATATATATTTGGCTATTGTTGTCCCTTTCTTTGGAGCAACATTCTAAATTTGAGATTATCAAAATACAATTATGAAGTCATAGACTTAGTATAGTGCCCAGTACAGTAATTTATCTGAAAAAGTGTTCAGAGTAGCTCGAATAAATAGTAATACATCTGGAATCTCTTTCCATCGTTAGTTTTTTTTTTTTTAATAAATGTATGCAAAAGCATAGTCGTAAAACTGAAAACGATACAACAGAAGATCAATATTAGCTGCTATACCTAACAATGACTAGTACAGTATTAATTTAAGATTTTCATCCACAAAACAACGTCAACAATACCACTTATTTTTATTTGAAAACTAAACTACTAATACGATTTTAATAAAACTCCTATAGGATCAATTTGAATATATATGAATATATACCTTGCAAATAAAAAATATTTTTCCAAATCGTTTCATAAATGACAGAGTTATGAGGTAACTAACAACATTAAAAAATATACGCGAATTTAAAACCTCCTTTTACATGTCGGTTACTATCGAAATAGTACATTACTGTAGCAGCCAGTAACTGAGGCATTGTTGGACGAACGTGCAAATGTGGGCCAAGGCGTAGCCGAGGCACACGTACGTGCGTCCATCAATGCCTAGTTGTGGCCAAGGCTTGTATAGTATTTTTCTCAAACAATGCGCGGAAATCAAAAACACAATTTTACTTTTTAAGTTCAATGACGAATAACGAACAATAATAATTTTTCACGCGCCATAATGTTACTTTGTTTTTTTTGTTTAATAAACAGCTTTCTATTTGCAAGCTAGTTCAAATTTTAAATAAAACCTTTTATTAGTTACCTCCTTGGTAGCCATATTTCGAAGTTAAAGGTCATTCCATTTTTAAATTACATGACAGATATGAGTTTACATAGTAATTTATTTGGCCGCAAAACACGACAGATATGAATTTTCATAAAACTTTTGCCGGCCGCTGCCCGCATGTATCTGGCCAGTACGGCAATTTTGATTTATCTCTAAGAAGATTTTCAAAATAATGCTCACATTTCCAAGCATGTTTGAGAAAAAGTAAGTTAATATCCTCTCCTTATGGGGAGAGACCAGTGCAGTGCAGTGAATCACTAATGGTTTATTGATGTTGATAATGATGAATGTAGGTATTACGGTTAATGTTTTTTTTTTTCAAACGATTTAACAAAAAAGGAATTAGTCAATTCGGTTGTATTTTTTTTTATGTTTGTTAACTCATAACTTCGTCAATTGTAAACCGATTGCTAAAATTCTTTTTTTTTATCTAAATGTTTATATTTATAGATTTACGCTCCATACATTTTAAAAAAATTGCCACCTGCTACTGTAGCGCCACCATAATTTAACGCCTTTTGACGAATACTTTTTCATACATAGAGATGGTTTCCCTAACCTATACCCTTCATATTCTAAAATAAAAAAAAAATACCGTCATTATAAAAAATATATAATTAAACGCAAAGCAGGCAGCATGGTCTCCGACCTTAGCCTGTTCCAAACGGAACAAACGTACTAAAAAAAAAAATTAAACGCAAAGCACCAACGACTTCGCCAACAATTCCATTTGTAATATTATAGAATCTTAAACATTCAATTAAAACGAATCCAAATCTTGAATATTTATACAAATATTTCGCTATAAACGTTTTCGCAACGTCGACAGCTAAGTATTTAATCTGTTTATCGTTTAAACCGAATCATTAAATAACTTTCAAAGAGATTTCTCTATGGAACTGGAATGGGTATCTTATTTAACGAAGCAAGACTTTGTAAAGTCATTTGCATAGGTACCTCTGTTCCATCTATTTTTTGTGCTCATGCAGCTTTTACCGCCAAGCAGTTTCGTTAAAGGAAGGATAAGCAAGCTGAAGGTGGCAATGGACTGGTTACATAGCTCGACAAACCGACAATCGATAGGAAAGAAAGGTTCTTGAGTGGCGACCCCGTAATGGCAAACGCAGTGTAGGATGACCCCCACTAGATGGAGTGATGAACTCGAATGCATTGCACGCAGTCAGTGGATGCTCATGACCAGAAGGCTCAGGACCGTTGCTTATGGCAATCTATGGAGGAGGCCTATGTTCAGCAGTGGACAGATAATGGGTGAGATGATGATGAATCATCTATACTTCTACTAATTAAAAATCATCGCCGTGTGGTCCCTGCATAGAATGGACCACCCCTTCCTTTTCCGTGGAAGTCATAAGAAGCGACTAAAAGAACTTAATTGTCGAGACTTGGACAGCAGCATCCCTCTTAAAACATCACAAAAGCCTAACTGCGATTGCCAAATCGTCTACCAACATTAAAACTATTCTTGATGGGTGAAAATGGTATGGTAACCCCGCCTGCGCTAACGGTATACGCTGGCGGAGCACCAGTGAAGGGTGATAGATGAGAATGAAAACAGGCCAGTTAGCCCGTCATGATGAATTCAAAAGGAATTAACCATGATAGTTTCCAGGGGGAACCGCGAGGAGGTCAACCTGGTTGGGTATATTGCTAGCAATAGGATTCTCAGTCTCCATTACTAACAATCCCTTTCCCCCACATTACAACTATTAGCAAAAGATTCCAATAGAGGGTGGACAATCGATTTTTTTTTTTCTATTCTATTATATTAAATAAATTCAATAGATGGCGGTAGATTCGCCTTCCGCTACGTTAAATTCGAATTTCTGATCAGCACCAATCAATAAATGTCTCTGAACCGCGGGAGCGCTTATCATACTAATTTTTACAAATTAGACGGTAGATTAGAAAAGTCGATAAGCCTCCTGACAGATGAAGGAAATTCCATCATCATTTAGCTCGTTGGAAGAAGATCGACATGTCGATACGGATTTATGGAGACAAGTCTACAGTTTTGTTTTTGTGGTGCATTACGTTGGGAAAAAATTAAATTTGACTTATTGATTTTTGTAGTGGAATTACCGTAGATGGATACATAGGTATTTTTCACTCATATAAATAATCATGTATTAATTTTTCTAGTGGCCTTAGTTATCCGTCACAGTGTGAGATATGATGGCATAAGTCCTGGTAGTAAAAGTTTACTTATGTATAAAACTTTTGCTTTAATACCTTCACCTTTTACACAACGTGTTTGTGAAAAAAAAACTGTATCCTTAGATAAAAATAAAACACTGGGAATACTAGTACTAGAAAATCTGTAAAAAAGACTTGGAAAGGTAAAAAGAATCAAAAATTACACTAACACTAAATTGCGACCAAGTATTCGCTTATAAAAAATAATGGAAGTATTAGCCGTCGCGTTTGATATAAAAAAATTTAGCTAAAAGGGAAAGATTTCTAGCGGTATTGTTTTCTATTAAAATTATTTGTTCATTGTAAATTATAAATGTTGACAGCATTGTAAAACTGTGGAAACTTCAGTCTGGAAAGTTTTTAACGATAAAGTATACCTAATTTATAGCTGAAAGTTGTAAAGTCTAAGAAACGTTTTGTGTTGAAACTGTTTGGATTTTATTGCAGCTGCTTTATTTTACTACAGCGCCCCACATTTTTATCTGTATGAAAATTGAAATAAAATACTTACAACACGCAACACACACACACAGTCTTCATACAAATATATGAATATGTGTGTGTGCTTCGTCAAAAGCAGATCAAGTTTTCTATGTTTATTTGAATATGGATACTACAATCTACATTTACCTTTTAATGAGAGTAAGTCATATAACATATAGTATTTATTTAAAAAAAAAAAACAATTTTACTGACTATTATATTATTTATTGTATTATTTAACTATATAAATATTTACTTTAACTTTTTTATATATATATATATTTTTATATATATATATATATAGATATATATATATATATATATATATATATATATATATATATATATATATATATATATATATATATATATTACTCCACAACACCACGAACAAAAACATCGTTTACATGAATGCATTTAAAACTTTTACGCTACATAGTCGCTAAATCTTTTATGTTACCTATTGCTATTTAAACAATGTCATTATTAATAGTTATACAACTTAATAGTATTAATTTATTTTTAATGTATTATATTTATATTCCTAGATGGTTGCATAGATTCATGATTCACTTACAATATAAAAGCAATGCCGACTCGTGATTACGTTACTCAGTATATATATATTTTTTTAAATTTACGTTAACCTTAATAGCAAAATGAACTAAAGGAGAAAACAAAAAAGGTATCGTTAATTTAAATGTGTCAAAAAAGTACGAGAGAGCATAAAATCTTAATTTTCTTTCACAATAACAAGACCATTCATCGTAGTTTCTGTCTCAATGACAGAATGATTAATCTAATCAGGGTAAGTACTTCTTTTTTAAATTTATATAAACAACTTTATTTTAATGTTTTTTTTTTCTCTTATTCATCGTTTTTTAAAAGTATAGTCAAAGGGAACAAAGCTGGCATTGTCTTATACTATTTTTTTCATAGAAAATTAATTAATTGAAATACTCAATAAAAGAAAAATAAATTTTTGGGAGCAAACTGCTGACAATTGTTCGTTTTTTTTTTTTATTCTTCTGCTTTTATGAGAATAAGCAAAGGAAACGAAACCCGTACAACCTTAGCTAGGTATGAAATCTTATTGTGTTTATAAATATATATATATATATATATATATATAGTTTTTATCATTCACGTCGATGCAATGTATTGTACGAGTATATTACCATTTGTTTATAATTACGATAAACATTGGTCTATGGCACACATTTTAAAACAAAAACTCATCTATTAAAAATAAGGCTGTATAACTTAGTTCTTTCGCCTTTCCCATTGTGGATAAATTGACACTATTACAACTATAAAAAACATGTTTTAAAAAAATATTTGTTATGTACCTACATTAGGGTCTCCATAAAAAAATGCCTAATTTTTATTAAATACAAAAGCCGGCCAGGGTTGAATATTAAAAATCGCATAGCTGTATTTAATTTTGCACGGTAAAAGGAAGGGCCACCCGACATATGCGCTTAATCTGTTTTACGATAGAATAATGGTCTTATAGAGTCATTTTATAATTTTCGTAGCTTAAAATACCGTAATTATGTTTTGTGCAAACTTATAACGTTTACCCTTGGGAAAATAATTACGAACGTATTTATATATATATATATATATATATATATATATATATATATATATATATATATATATATATATATTATATTTATACAACTTAGAATGGCAAACAAGCTGACGGCCCACCTGATGGAAAGTGGTAACCGTCGCCTATAGACATGAGCAGTACCATGGACATAACAGAGTATACTGTTTCGTCCATGTAACCCCCCATGCGTTGCCATTCCTGAGGACTCGGGTGTTATTCCTCTGTACCCTGTAAATTCACGCCATATCCCACCCTTCAAACCGAAACACAGCCATTCAAACAACTGATTCACGGTTGAAACACGAATGGGACAGAGGTACTCAAGCAATCGACTTTTGTACAAAGTCTCCCTCTGGTATATATTGTGTATATATGTATTTAAACTTTAAAATAATTATTAAATTGTATTCCACAAAAAAAAATGTAACAAAACCAATTATTTTAATTTAAAAACTAAACTACTGAACCTATTTTAGTTAAATTTCTATGGCATCAATCTGTAAATATATTTTTGTTACATAAAAAAAGAGTTTTGCAAATTGATTTACAACCAACAAAGTTATAAAGTAACAAACATTCGTCATCATCATATCAGCCCTTAACCGTCCACTGCTGAACATAAGCCTCCCCCTTGGAGGGTTTTGCCAATAGTTGGGCACGCTTAGCAGACGGATTGGCAACCGCAGTCTGGCTTTAGAGGTGTTTTGCTGACGGACTCTGCTGCCCATCCCTCGTCGATTCTTAGTCGTCTTTTACGAAACCTACTGGAAAGGAAGGAAAGAGGAAAGCCAAACAAACATTAAAAACATACAACCGTATTGAGAATCTCCTTACTTTTAAAACCTCATTTTCTTATTATTTTTTTTTAACTATATTAATTTAAAAGACATTCTTTGCACTGCAGTACTATCCTTATTCTATGCATTCTTTAAACAAGTTACAAATAATTTTCTATTCAAATTCTATCTAAAATCGGATGCCAAATAAGAAAAAAAAAAAGATTAATTAATAAAAAATTAACCACAGAAGATCGCACAGAGGACAAATACTTTTTTTTAACGTGATGACATTTTTCGAGGCTGTGGGCTTCTTATCTACTAAAACGCTTTTACAATCTAAACAGTTTAAGACTCGAGGCCTTTCTAAAAAACAGTACTTCTATATAATACTTGCTTTTTATTTATTTACAAAAGATACACCAACAATATGTTCGTAATAATTTTCTCAAACATGCTTGGAAATGTGAGCATTATTTTGACAACCTTCTTCGAGATAAATCAAAATTGCTGTACTGGCCAGATACATGCGGGCAGCGGCCGGCAAAAGTTATATGAAAATCCATATCTGTCGTATTTTGCGGCCAGATAAAATACTATGTAAACTCATATCTGTCCTGTACTTCAAAAATGGAATGACCTTTTACTTCGAAACATAGCTACCAAGGAGGTAACTAATAAAAGGTTTTATTTAAATTTCGAACTGGCTTGCAAATAGAAAGCTGTTTATTAAAAAAAAAAAACAAAGGAACATTATGGCGCGTGAAAAATTATTATTGTTCGTTATTCGTCATTGAACTTAAAATATAAAATTATGTTTTTATTTCCGCGCATTGTTTGAGAAAAGTACTATACAAGCCTTGGCCACAACTAGGCATTGATTCTAAGTTGTATAAAAAAAAAAACATAAATATTATATACCTAAACACCCAGACTGACTTCAATTCTTTTTTATATGATTAATATAATATATTAAACTGTTGTTCATTTATTTAATGTAAATCGAAATTATTGCAAGACAAATCTATTTAAAAAAGGAGCAATTATATTTAAATTAATTAAATATAATCTGACATCTAAATTGACATTAATGCATGTATATTAGCTACCTATCAATATAATTTTGCTACACCCAAACAGGTTTACATAGGAACATTGTAACATCTTTATATTATGTATATGAATGCATTATAATGGAATAAATAATAAACGAATCGATTAATGTCTTTTAAGGGTAATAACGTGCATGTGACACCCCTAGTTTGTAGACATATATACAAGTAGGGTAACTGCTTACCCTAAAGGTTGCAAGAATATGAAATTGCCGGTGTCATCCTTACTGATATTATCAATGTAAATGAGTTTTATTATTTCTACATTACCTTATAACGTCTTAACCTATAAAATTTGATATACACGTACTTTGTTGAATGGAGTACGGTATAGGCTACTTTTTCTCCCGATCAGTAAACATGTCTCGGTCACATGGACAGAGTCGCAGGTAAACGCTAGTAATATGTGAATCCTGTGTCACAAATTTCGTTTACGCTAATCTACCGATCTCGATCAATCGATTTTATTTATATTTTATGATAAATTTAAATAAAATTATCTAGAGGTACCTATAATTATTTTTAGATTATATAGATAGAGCGTCGAGTCTCAAAAGCGGGTCAACTACTTGTCAGCTAATTGTCATATTAGCTGACTCGTTTTTTTTATCAGTGTTCTACATACTTACGTATACAATGTATTTTGATGTATTATTAAATAAATTAAATGAGTATTTATGCATTTAAAAGGTGCAGAATTTATAAGACAAAATAAATATGAAAGTTCATAATCACTCATTAACTTTTATCACGCAAAATTCTATGAAAACGTTGACCCGTTTTTTTCGAAGCATTTGTATGGAGATACTCTATCTATAATTATATAATAAACTGTTATAATTCATAAATATAAAATTAACAAAGATAAGAAAGTTGTCGCTTCAAAGATAGAAACATTATGTAAAAAAGAAACTAAAGTCCAGAGGGAGACTGTACAAAAGTCAATTGCTTGGGTACGTCCGCCCATTCGTGTTTCAACCGTGAAGCAGTTGTGTTTGCATAGCTGTGTTTCGGTTTGAAGGGTGGGATATGGCGTGAATTTACTGGGTACAGAGGAATTACACCTGAGTCCTCAGGAATGGCAACTCATGGAGGGTATCATGGGCGAAACAGTATACTCTGTTATGTACATGGTACTATTCATGTCTATAGGCGACGATTACCACTTTCCATCAGGTGGACCGTCAGCTTGTTTGCCATTCTGTTGTATATAAAAAAAAATGCTATAATAAAACATTTCATCTCTTCCAGTGGCCTGACGTTCCCTGGTGGCGAATCAGGCATATCAGTGCCAGATACACTGTGCACTCCCAAGTCTGTCGGCATATCGGTAGACACGAATACCTATGAACCACATCTCTTGGCTGGCACCATGGCTCATATGATTGGACACAATATTGGTAAGTTGGAACAAACATAACTTTTAAAGTATACCAGAGATGATGCAATTGATAACTAGTATCTATAGGTCTTGGGAACAGCTCTAGAAAGTCTATGTATAATATAAAGTGTATTGAAAATGGCTAAGAAACTAACGTTAATACAATATATGTGGTCTGATAGAAAATAGTAACTATTGCCTCTAGACATGAACATTGCTATAAATATTTCAGAAGCCTTTAAACATACCCCTAACACATTGTTACTTCTGGATGATTTTTATGCAAAAAATATAAAATCATTGTACCTCTCGGGTATATTGTACAGTGTTACCAAAAAATTATTGTCATCACCACAAATTGTCGTGGCATTTAAATTTTGATCAGAAGAAGACATGTCTGTGCTCTCCCAATATGTGCAAATATTTTTCATAAATATTTTTTTCTGCTAACATTCAAATCATAATGAGTCATTGCCACGAACATTGTAGTTGTCTAACTGTGTTTGAGAAAGTCTGTATTGAAATAACTTTAAACACTTCCCCGTATTAAATTAAATTATTAATTTTACCTAAATTCTGGTAACCAGGTATGGGACATGACGATGGACGAGAACAGTGCTTCTGTCGAGATTGGCATGGCTGCATTATGGCGCAGTCTATTGTGGGCTCCGACAATGTGCAGCCCTACAAGTTCTCGGACTGTTCCAAGAATGATTATATCAACGAACTGAGGATTGGCCAGGGACTATGTCTCCTGAACAAACCTAATGAGGTAAGGTTATTCTAATCGAATTTATCTTTAAGACGTTATACTTGATCCCGTATTGTAAGTAAAGTTTAAAGTAGACTGAGTATCAACAGTCTCGGTTCTAACAAAATATAGTTACTTGATCCTCAAACTTGTTAACACAGGTTGTGTCATTTAAAAGACCAGATAATGAAATTCAGAAACTAACTATGCCTGTTTAAGTTTAACTATCAGAACCATAAAAATTTAAAAATATTTATTTTCTAAGTTGCTTATCCCAAGCATCGAACATAGAATCTCGTTTATGCAACATTATGTATCGGGGGAGAAAGGGATTGTTAGCAATGGAGTTTGATAGCCCCATTGCTAGCAATATACCCTATTAGGTCAACCTCCACGTGGTTCCCCCTGGAAACCATCGTGTACAATTCTTATTGAATTCATCACGATGGGCCAACTGACCTGCTTCATACTCACCTATCATCCTTCACTGGTGCCCCGCCGGTGTATACCGATAGAGCGGGTGGGGTTACCATTCCATTATCATCCATTAAAAAAAAACATTATGTATCGAAAAATTACGCTATTGGCGTTTTTTCTTTAATACAAGTCCACACTGATAAGACGAATCATAAGAAAATCTCACGTATCCATAACGTGGACATATCAATAACCTACGTCGTTACTATTACTAATCTTCTCATAATATTATTAAGATCAAATCATGACCAACTTATTAATTCTTAATAAATAATCGAAAATACTAAATTGACTTCCATTGTAATCAATTCAAAAGCAACAGCTGCGTTACAATTCGCGTTGAGCGCGCGTCAATGTTCCCAGCGTTTAACTCTTCCCTAAATTCAACGGAACTTCCGAATCATTCCGATTCTTCGGCACGTCATTGGCACTCTCCCATTAACACGCCACAGCTAATTCGAATGCAAAACAGAGTTCCACGTCGAAAATTAATCAGGAGCGGAGTATTGTTTGTCGCCGGCCGAGCTCCTTGCCGAGGCCCACTCCTTTAATAAAAGTTATGGTAATGCGTCCTGCCCGCGCACAGAATTATCTCGTCGTTTGAGAATATATAATAACAGAAGCGCGCGCCGGCACGGTTTATTGGAATAAATTTACATAGCGCCGAATGATAATGCAGCTTGCCTCCATTGGCGCTTCGATTGGGCGCGTTTACATATTTATCGGGAGATGATTGTGCTAGCGGAGTGCTTTATTTTCTTGGTTTCGTTTGCCATAACCTGTCCCTTTCCATCCTACACGTGTACGTTGCTCAAGGTCGCACTCGGAAGTCCTCAGTTTGCGCCGCTTTCAATCGTGATCCGATTGAAATTCTGTGTATTTATAGGTATTTGCTGTTCTCGAGAGCTTACCCGGTTACATTTTGTAATATGTTACTTACACGTTTAGGTATTGTTGATTTATAAGTATATACAAGTTGCTATTGGATTTAGTTTAAACAACATTGTACACACATACATACATTACATACATTTTATTTGTGGCAACTATTGGCAAAATGCCCCAAAAAGATGGGGTACCATCACTGCTCTATCAGTGTGCAAATATTTCTCTAAGTAATTTACCGTCTTTCAAAAAAAAACGTTTACGCTCACTTTTTTACTTTATCCGAGCAGTAAGTACTTTATATTATTCTCAATTTCGTGTATAATATAGTATATGTCATATATGTGTAAGTATATTTGATATTTACATATTCGTTTATATATGTAATTTTAGTATGTATGTATATCAATAATTAGTAGTACCGCATTCGAGTATTCTGACACTTCCCTATGGTTGACTGGGAGAGAATGCTTTTAGCATTAAGTCCGCCATGTACACATATTTGTACTAATGAATAAATAAAATAAATAATTTGGAATGGCAAAATAACTAACAGCTTTTTGAATGGATTATAATGATCGTTACCTACAGAAATATTAAGTTCTATAAACATTACACAAAACATTGTAATACCCATGCTATTCCTTACTCCTTATTACTACCTTAGGACTAAGATGTTAAACCTCTATACACTATAGTTTCAATATCCCACCAAATTAAACAGAACTCAACTATGAAATTACAGCTGCTTGGCTTCAAAAATATTAATAAAAAATGAAATAAATGATAAACTCTTTATAAATCACTAATCGTCAAATATATAGGATTCTTGGTGGCAACTGTCATGATATGCTCTGTATAAAAAGTTAGTTATCTTTTTTTCTATATAAATTTAAGTATAAATTCCTTATGTTTTAATGTTCATCATTTCCAATCCAATAAACTTAAGAAGATTGGCTTCTTGTTAGATTAGATTTATGTACAATATATCCAATGACATGTACGCAAATCGAGTGTTATTACCACGACGAAGGCAATCGACAAAATAAACATTATTGCCTCCTCTGAATTTACAGTCAATAGTATTGGTATAATATTATATTAAACAATACACACAAAAAATGTTTATATTACCATTCCAATTGAATAAATTGATTTAATATTCCAAATAATTTGTTTGGTGAATTTAAATGTCACAGACAAAGGATATTGCGATCACAAAATGTAAGAAATATGGATCTCTAAAAATATACTTTTCCTGCAATTTTTTAAATTTTACTAAAAATATATATATCCATTATGTTTCCATGTTATTTTAATACGTCACCTACCTTTCTTTTCAATAATTTCCCAATAAAAAAAAGGTGTTTTGAAGATAATAAGAGAAAAAGATGGCCTCTTGTATTCATTCTATCAATCCACCACTTGTCCACCAAATATCATCAATCCAACAATCCTGGTCTGAAAACAAAGATAGCCAGTGTTATGAGAAACTAGACAATAAATGTATGAAGGGACAATCCAGAACACCCAGACTCAAGCCAATTTAAAAATCAAATCGTATTCCTAAATAATACCGGATCCTCGATTCGTAACGCTGTGCCAAAAAGATTCATTTATGTGTTATTGGTGCAATAAATTTTTAAAATAAATATGGTATTTACAAACAGCTGGTAATCCACCACCAATGTGGCAACGGTCGCTTGGACGAGGGCGAGGAGTGTGACTGTGGCACCATAGCTGACTGCCAGAGCATGAACCCTTGTTGCGATCCCTTCACCTGTCGCCTGACCAAAGAAGCCCAGTGCGCTTCCGGAGAGTGTTGTGAGAGATGTCAGGTAATGAAAATGTTTTTTTCTGCTTTTAAGACGTTTCTCAGTTTAATTTTAAAAAATGCTTTACAGCTGAATATATAAAAAAAAAATCTTAGTGTGGTTACAGTAATATCGTGCCTTCTTTTTACGCCAGATTCATCTTTATAAGCAGAAGACTATATCATATCTTTCATAACGATTTCATACGATGAAGTCAGATAATTTAATATACCATGTTAATATTCTTATATAGACGTAGTATAACTACTTCCACTTATAAAGATGTATTCCAATCTTCAGTCATTTACCGTCAGCATCGACAGAAACTTGTATTCTATTTTTGTATTCTATGTGGCAATAGTGCTAGTACGAGTATATACCCTTTAGGGATTGAGGCTCGTGCTCAGAAGAGAGACGTTAATGGGTTTTTTGATGATAAAATAAATTGCTGTTTGGACATGTCATCACCCATTGTAAACACTGCCTTACTTCTTGTATTTTTTTTTTGGTCCACATATTTTACGAAACTGTCATCTTCCACATAATTCTCATAATGGCATAGCACGTAACGTTACCTCTAATTTTCTTCAGCTAAAGCCCCGAGGCGTGGTATGTCGTGATGCAACCAACGAGTGCGATTTAGAAGAAACCTGCACAGGGCTATCGGGCACTTGTCCTCCTGATGCACACAGGAAGAACGGCGAACCGTGTGAAGAAGGGAAAGGCTACTGCTTCGCAGGGCAGTGCCCCACGCTAGGCATCCAGTGCGAGAGGATCTGGGGCCCTGGATCTATTGGTGCTGATAAAGAGTGCTTTGAGCAGTTCAACTCGAAGGGAGCTGTCACCGGGCACTGCGGGAAAGATAGCAGCGGACATTATATTAAGTGCGAGACTGAGTAAGTTATTTTTAATTTAATTAAAATAAAAAAAAAACTAAACTAACATACTTAGCCTCAGAAGGCTCATTGACACATGAGACATTTTTCAATGGCAATGCATCACCGTTGATAATATTCTAGATTTTTCTAAATCTAGGATTGTATAAAAATTTATATGTGATACATAATGTAGGTCGATACTAGATGTACAAGAAAATTGAATAATGAATATTTAACAAATTTGAGAAAAACAAGACTTTGTAAACAATATAAACAAGTATTATATTTGAGATTTGCTATCTGTTTTGGTAGAACATACAATTTAAACAAACAAATAATTATGTCAACTGTAAGATAGTTTGCTATTGTCCAATAATAGTACAAATCGAAAACAGATTAATTGCTTGTATGTTTCGATTTGTTACTAATTTCTTTTATTCGGTGTTTCTATGGTAACTTCAACAATATTTCGTTTCATTTTCATTAAACTGTACTATAACAGTCTATAATAATTCTGTATCTATGTCATTGAATATTATGTTTATTGCTATCTCCCTCTAACTCGTGTTTCAGAAACGTTCGCTGCGGTTCGCTACAGTGTCAGCTTGGCAACAGATATCCTGTAGTGAGCGGTATGGACGAATACTACACCAGAACTGTCATTACCATAAAGGGGAATGAGTATGAGTGCAAGTGAGTATAATGTACTATCTCATTTTACATAAACTTTATACCTTCTTTTTTTAATTGAATTATAAATTAAAAAAAAAAAAAGTTTACTCAACTTACAGCTGCATGTCCTCAAAGTGACTGATTGTTTGTCCGTCTGCACTTACTTTAGACAGAAATTGCTGAACAATATTTCCTATATCCTTCAGTCCCATCTCCTTGATGGGAGAGACCTTTGCCCAGTAGTGGGATCATGGGTTAATAATGGAATAAAATTAACCAAACACATAAATAGGAATGGTAATATCAAATTCATCATCGTCATCAAATTATTATACCATTTTTATACCAATTAATACATCCCATAGACGCGAGAACCCGGATCAAAATTAGTATTTATTTATTTATTTTATTTATTCATAGGAAACCAGGGCTACACTAGAGCAAAAATATACAGTTTAGGATCACAAAATAAGCCACTAATAGGTTTTCACAAGTAGCAACAATATAGATACAAGGTTTTATATAAGCTATCTTCACAATATCCCACGCCTATTTCCAGAGCAACCACGGGCCTTCCAAAACACGCGGAGATTGGACCGCTCGGCCTTGTCCGGGACGGCACACCGTGCGGGGACAATTTAGTATGCGTGAATCAAACCTGCACCTCTATCTTCCCGTACATAGACCACACCAAGTGCCCAACCGACCACAACAACAACGAGTGTTCTGCAAAAGGGGTGAGTTTATTTATTTATTTATATATTTCAAGCAACGCCAACAGCATATGGCATTATAACACATATAACAAACATTAAATATGTAAGGTTCATCTTGTCAATATATTTAATCAATAATTTAAATACAAGAATTATTTTACAATAAAATAAATACATTTTTGAATCGTCCAAATCAACAAAACGCTGGCCCGTGCGCGGTATTTTTTTCTCTGCGCGCGCAGCCAACAATCACAAAGCGCTTGCGCGACCTGCGCGCGCATCTTGCGAGTGAGTCCCGTGACCAAGCGTCCATGATATAAATATATGTATATATAACAAAATGTTTTTTTAAATTCACTTATATTATAAAAGTTGATATATATAATAAACATTGGTGGGTATCATCTCACCACAGCATATACTTTAACATAATTATATACAGTACGAGAAAATTAAGTAACAATTATAATAAATTAAATAACACTAGACTAAGTACAAATATTTTTAAAATTCCGTTCTTTGTTATGGATGTAACACATGTAACCTGAGTTGTGAGTAATATCAGTAAACAATAACTACTTCTTCGACAACTATTATACAGTGAACGCTATATATAAGCTACTCATTTGAATCAATTTCAATAAAAAAAATGTCTTATCGGGAAAAGTTGCTTATAGGGAAAAAATGAGTATAAAAATACTTACCGTCTGGAAAATATTTTTACTTATTTACTAACTAAACTGAGTAGAATAAAAAAAAAACGAGAATCTTAATTCTATTATATATATTATCTATACTTCTAAATTTCTACTATTAACTTCGTCAGTTGTAAACCGATTTGGATATTTTATCAAATTCGATTTAGTAGTTTAGTTTTTAAAACAAAATTTATGGTAGCAGATTTAAACAAAATAAATCTAATCAGCCAACTAATTATATTTTAATCTACTTATTAATTATACTGTATTACGTTTTTATGAGTGTTTATATCAATGATGTTACTGTTTCACACAAAAACTACTAAACGGATTTAAATTAAATTTAGTACACGGATAGTTTTTATCCTAACTTAATACATAGGATACTTTATGTATTACCAATTCACACAGGATACAACTATTTCAATATAATTATATAATATACACGTACCTGCAAATACATACACAAAGTACGAACGTGTGTAACTTAAAACGTTTGTTTTCATTGTTAAAATATAAGAAAAATCTTTTTTTTATACAACTTAAAATGGCAAACAAGCTGACGGCCCACCTGATGGAAAGTGGTAACCGTCGCCTATTGACATGAGCAGTACCATGGACATAACAGAGTATACTGTTTCGCCCATGATAGACCCCATGCGTTGCCATTCCTGAGGACTCGGGTGTTATTCATCTATACCTTGTAAATTCACGCCAAAAATCTTAAACAAATGTCCCGTATGAAAAAGTCTGCTGCAGAAGTCCCAAACCTTTTGTCTCGTAAACTGTTTTTGCATGTTTTTGTTTTGGGTAGACCCGCTGCTTAGATAAATAATAGATCATTAATGCTAAATTTGTTAACTTCAAATGTGTTTTTGACTAATTTAAACTGTAGTGAGACGTGGGTAAAACGAGAAAGAATAAAATAAAAAAAAGAACACATAAAGTTTCATGCATTTATTTTACAAGAAATAACAATGAAAAACGAGCGAAATTTAAATTTAGTGTGTATATTTTAGAAATGTACTTTATTTTTTTTTTTTATTCTGATATTCAGAAAATAAATGTAATCCACAACCGTGGACCTCCATTTATATTTTACGGACCCCTAATTCTTTTTTCGCTCACCTAAAAACCCCTTTTAAGCCGTTGTCGACCCATGGGAGTTCACATAGACCACTTTGGGTAACAATGATTTAAACTTAATGGATTACATATCTATTCTATACAAATAAAAAAAATAAGAAATAATAGAAAATAAAATAAATAAAAAAAAACAGTAAAATATACATAACTAAGTTATATGCCAGCCGTGTAAGTCCCGGCATAGATTAGGCCACCCCTTCCTTTCCCGTGGGTGTCGTAAGAAGCGACTAAGGGATCTTATAATGGAGGGATGAGCAGCAGCGTCCCTCTTAAAACCACCAAAAGGCTACGCTGACAACTGCGGTTGTCAACCCGCCTGGCCAGCGTGGAAACTGGCAAAACCCCCCTTATAGCCCCCTCAGCAGTGGGCAGTTAAGGGCTGTTACAACAAGTTTATATATTTAATATTTATTTACTATATTTAATATTTATTTACTATATTTAATATTTATTTACTATATTTAATATTTATTTACTATATTTAACATTTATTTAAACAAATATATATTACACTTATGGAGTACAAAGGGCGATCTTGTCGCTAAAGCAATCTCTTCCAGATAACCTTTGGGTAGAGGAAAAAGAAAAATGACGGTAACGATTTGACGCAAAAAGTGTTATAAAATCATGTGTATCTAAATACTTATTATTATTTGCTACAAAAACGCATATATAAAATACATAATATAGGTTGTTTTATGTAACTTAAAATGACAAACAAGCTGACGGCCCACCTGTAGAAAGTGGTAACCGTCGCCTATAGACATGTGCAGTACCATGGATAAAACAGAGCATACTGTTTCGCCCATGATACCCCCATGCATTGCTATTCCTGGCGACAGGTGTTATTACTCTGTACCCTGTAAATTCACTGCCATATCCCACCCTCCAAACCGAAACGCAGCCATGCAAACGCAACAGCTTCACGGTTGAAACACGAATGGAACAGAGGTGCCCAAGCGAACGACTTTCGTACAATGTCTCCCTCTGACTACGAGAACTCGTTAAACATTTAGATACGAGAACAATTTTACTAATAACATCAAAACGTTACAAATTACAAGACGCCTCCGTCTAAACTTGCGACTGTTAGAACTTTCTCGAGTGGCGTCCGGGCTCGCTTGCACAAATCCTGCATTATCCAAATTCTAATCTACGTCTGCTCGGGGACTATTACTAAACTAATTTGTATTCGTATCTCTGCAGTTATTTCTGGAAGTTTGACAAATGCACCGGCTTTGTTTTGTACAAAATAATGATGAATAAAGCAACCGAACTGTACCAGCTGGTTTTACAATGAATTTCGTCGTTGTAATCCGTTGGTTATTTGATAAGAGTTATTTTGTTTAATTCCGCTAACATTTAGTATGTTTTTTGATTAGTTTTTGTATTTATTGTGTCTGATTTACGCCATTTATCTTTTTTACTGTACTTGTCTACTATTTATGCTAAGTTGTCTATAAAATAAAGAGTAGAAATTTTGAAAGAAATGCATTTAGCGATAAGACCGTCTTTTGTATATATAAACCAAAAAATAATATCTAGCAAAGAATTAAAAAATGAATATTTTAAATGGAATAATCCAACTAGAAGCTGTGGTGATCCCAACATTTCTGTTTAGTAGAGAACAGTGTTTTGTTTAGAATATGCAAAATACAAAACGGACTCAATTAAACTTTGCCTTGGACTCACAATCATACATTACATATATGTAAAGTCAAATATATTTAACGCATAATTGTGGGTTAAATAATGTTTTAAAATTTTTAATAGGTCAACATTTTTTATTTTATTTTTATTAAAGAAAAAGGGATTACGAAAGTCGATTGCTTGGGTACCTCTGTCCCATTCGTGTTTCAACCGTGAAGCAGTTGTGTTTCCATGGCTGTGTTTCGGTTTGAAGGGTGGGATATGGCGTGAATTTATTGGGTACAAAGGAATAACACCTGAGTCCTCAGGAATGGCAACGCATGGGGGGTATCATGGGCGAAACAGTATACTCTGTTATGTCTATGGTACTGCTCATGTCTATAGGCAACGATTACCACTTTCCATCAGGTGCCCACCTGTAAATTCTTAAAATTTTACTAAATTAATTATTAATACATACAAGCTGTTTAATATGACCATTAGTGCCGGGATTATAATAATAACATCTCGTATAGGTTATATAAGATATAATTATTATATAGATATAAAAGTATAAGACATATGGATATAAATTTATATTGTAATCTTGTTAGTGGTACTAAGTAAATAAAAGAAAACAAATATCTTACATGTACACTCAACGTCTATCCTATCTATACTGTCGTGATGAATACTCCTGAAATTCAGCATGAAGATTTCCAAGGGGGACCACGTGGAGATCGACCTGACTGGGTATAATTACTAGCCATGTGACTGATATTCAGAATTACTAACAAACCCTCCTTCCCCCAACCACTTACAGAAGTTACTTCAAAAAGCTAGTTCTACATATAAAAAATATTTATTCCAGGTTTGTTCCAACCTGAACAAGTGCGTTTGCAACCGCGGCTGGACTGGGCCAGATTGTTCGCACCACGACGCACTGCCTCCTTCTCCGACCCCTTACGTACCCGAGAACGCGACAAAAGCAGCCTACAATATGACAAAGAAGGAAACACCGTATGGTGAGTCAACCCCAGTAGCGGATCCGACACCACACTAACATTGCTGTAGTTACAATCGACAATTGCCACTGTATTTTCACCTAACACCAAACGATGTTCAACATCGTTTGCAATTGCAAATTCATTACAAATATTTACAATTTCACCAGAAAATATTATGTACTTTTTAAATCCAAAAAAATAAACTCTATTTCTGCAAATATATCTTTTTTATATCCATATTTGAACTGTAAAATTTCAATAATCTGCAATAATTTTCAGATCAGATATCAAATGCAATTTACATTCAATTTACACAATTTTTTTTAATATAACGCTTTTTATACTTACAATTATATTACAATAACATTTACAATACTTCTACACTTACAATTATATTATATTTTTGTGATTTCAGGTGTCTATTACTCTTTATATTCCCCCTACTTTGTCACGTTGTCTTAAAAAATTGGCCATCGAATCCGAGCACTGCTTTCCAAAATTTTAAAATAATTCTCACAAAATTATCGTTAAAAATTTTACTAACTACCTATATTAAGTTAAAATAGTAACTAATATTAATAGTAAACAATTAAGTTAGTAAGTGGTTATGCGGAATCGCGTTGTCGGTAACCGGATAGGCATTGCTCGGAGCGGGCGTGGCTGCAGGCGCGGGCGGCGCCGGCGCACTAACGCGCGGGACCCCTCTCTTGCAGGTGAGCACGAGGGGAATAAGATGAGCACCATGAACATGGTGATATTGTTGCTCGCGGTCGTGCTGTCCGTGTTCGTGGGGTTCGCCTGGATGGCGTACTGCTTCAGGTAACAGCCGGTAACTCGGTGTTGTTGCACTGTATGTCGTGCCTGCGTGTCGTGTCGTGTCTGTCGTCTGTCCCGCGTGTCCCGCGCCCCGCGCTAGAGCCCGCGAGCCGGCGCCGGCCGCGCCGCCCACGTCACCCGCGTGACTCGCGTCTCGGCCGCCGCCACTCACACTCTTCTCTTTGGGCGCAGAGAACTACCACGGCTCGAACACGGTGTTCCTCGTGGCGGTGCTCATGTCTGTGGTAGGGGGGGTATTCATAGTATTTGCCCTGAGCGCTCTCTGCTACAGGTCAGTCGTAGTACACAAAAACTTCTCCCTGTGCCTAAGGTTAGTGAGCAGAAAACAGACCAAAGGTAGTCTTTAAGAAGAAATTTAAATCGTCACCTTCGTATACTTGTATGTTTATTTTAGAAGTTAGCGTTGGTGTTTCTGTTCGTTTTTACGTCGGCGATTGGTTTTTCTTTTTGTTTTGTTTTTGGAGATACATTTTTGTCGTTTACGTTGTGGTCGTAGAGCTAGAGTTGGCGGGTGGCGCGTCGGCGCCTGTCGGCGCGCCACAACTGCATTTGATCTGTGGTTCTGTGTCCGCGCCGGCGGGCGGGCCGCGGCAGCGGCGCCGGCCGGGGCCCACGCCGCCGTCCGCCCGCCACGCTGCATGCCGACAAGGCTTTCCTCGTTGTACTCGAGTGACACCTCGACTCAAACCCTTAAGATTCTGGGCTCTTGGATGTATGCATTGGCTTATGTGAACTGTGACTCGTTTTCGTTTCCTTTCTTGGTCGGAGGCCGCGTCACCGGGCGCCCGCGACTGCGACCCGGCGGCGCGATCGCGTCTATATCTTCCGATAGCGGCTCCGGTATACCGGTTACGACTAGTGCACGCCACCATCCGACCGTTCTAATCTTTGAACGCAACTTACAGAGACATTTCGCTTCTCACATCGGTATCGTTGCGTCGCTGCACCAGGATGGTTTGTGGCATATTAAATGCGACCACCGTGAGGTATGTACACGGCAATTTTGAATATTTCGCTACGATTGAAGAAGATATAGATCGCTCGACTCTAATGTCACCAATCACTACCACTACCACTAAATTCTTACTAACTTTTGCACGAGAAGCGAATGTGCGATGCACGGATTCTTCTTTCAAGCAGCTGTCTATCTAGTTAGCAACGCCTAATGTTACTTTTAAGGAACGGATCTTTCCAGTAAACATCCGTGATCCTGAAGAGAATAAAAAACATTCATACCTATTGAAATAAATATATAAATATCCCAACTGCAATCATATTACCGTACATACACGAACATTCTCTATCAACATACACGGCATAATCATCAAAATATTTTACTGGAAGGAACCTACACATCACTAAGCTAAGGTCAAATCTCTTGATATATTTCCACATAACATTAATTCCCATGAGGAATGAAACGAAAAGATAACTCTAAATCCAATTCAAAAATTAATATCTAAAATAAATTTATTGAAATATCCAAAAGCGCCAGTCTTTGCAGTAAAAAAAATGAATGTTGGAATAAAAGAAACAAAACAACATCGTTTTCATTATAAATTTTGTTTAAATTGCATTTTGTTTAAATGTCATTGTCGTTAAAGAAAATATCAACTTTTATTCCAACTGAAATTAAAGAAATGTCGGGGACGATGACACCACCAATTCCTGATTTATCATAGGTGTTCTCGACTCCGATCATTGCCCCATTTCGATTCAACCTTGTAAACATAATCGATTGATCTGAGTGTGCGTTCCCACGCCACGCTTGCCCCAGGAAAAAGAGTACGCTGCCAAAGTACGATCCACCGTACGTGAAAAAGCCTATAGCGAAGAGTTTTGCTGCTGGATCGACGACTTCCAATAATTCGCAAGAGGATATTTCTCTGGACGGTGGCAAGATGCATTCCTTCAATAATACTGTCAGGTATATTTCCTACAAAATATCTTTCATATTTATTATCACTTTTAGTTCAAACTTAAACAAACAATGATTGGTCTAGTCTAATAGGACTAATCATTGATATAAGGTTTCAAATATTATAAAAAATAATTGAGGATACGTATTTCACAATTTCTATCTAAAAGTTGATACACATACGGAACAAACAATTTTCAATACCTGCCTGCTAAATAAACGTCTGAAGAAGTCAATAACTATATAGAAAACATCGGTTTTATAACTAAATATAATGCCAAACCTAACTAACCATAGATGATGTATCTGCGTCTTATTTAACCTTCATTATACCACCGCAAAAAATCCTCAAATATTTGGATTTATTTTGTTGAAAACTCTGCTGTGGCTTATATTTTCTATACTTCCAAGTTTACCAAAACTAAAATCTTCTTTCCTCTTTTAATGGATCTGGTGTTGAACAGAAACCTTTTAAGGTACGTCGAAGCTTGACGCGGAGTTAGACTACAGACGCGTCTCACCGCTGTGAATTTTTTTCTCGCTCACACTATATCCGCTTGTTGTCACGGCTTTCCGATATGCTTTGAAAACAATAATAAAGGAGTTGCTATATGAGTACAGATTTTAAATTTACGCGATAGCGATACGACGACGTGTGACTAAATATCATTTCAATTCCGGAAATAATAGCAACACACATAAAAATTTCGCCATCTTGTCGCAATCGCGCCGTAGATGGGGCCTAGTGTTCATTGTGAGAAGCACATCCACGTTCTCAAATTCGTTAACACGCTTTAATAGTTTCGTTGTACCATATTATAGTTTGTACAGAATCATTGGTGCTGTCTTAAATCAATCACTTTAATAATTCTACAAGTTTGGTATATATGGGTTATATAAGACAGAAACCAGTTCTGGAATATTTAAATGTCATCAATTAAAGGATATAATTTTGATCATCTAATTGGTAGTTGCTATTACCTCTATTTTAGCTTCAATTCTATTATTCTCAAATTAGATTTTCTTACTTATATTTTCATATGGACAGAGCCAAACATTCTACGAACTATATTTTTAAATATAACTTTTAACTTAGAGAACACCTGTAGTGGCTACACATCAGAAAACTAATACTACAATGAAGAGTAGGTTTCGAAAGCTTTCTGGTATACATATTGAAAAAATCTACTCACATTCAATGTTTTTAAATTTTGATTTGAATTCTCTAGCCGTGGAGATTCCCGAGTATTCTTCAGGCACGGAAACCATATGTCTGGAGCGGGCAATACCAGTAGATATCCGTAAGTTAAACTCTTTTATGATTAATGTAATAATAAACTTTAAAAATGTATTTTATTCTATCGAGCAACACGGCAAATAAGCTAGTATTCTATCAAATCAAGGATCACAACCATCACTAGTAATTAAAAAGATTCTTTGACATAAATAAGTAAAGAATATGCTTTGTTAATAGTAAAAATATATTTTATGAGCTTCAATAATAACAGTTACTACTTGTTTATAAATTACAGAGATCACAAACAAATGAAACGAGTACATTCTGGCAGTGAAGATGAACCTACTCATTCAGGTATTTTTTTTTTTACTCGTGGCTGTTAGAACAGCCACGTTGTTTTAATACTTACCAACCAGTCCTTGTCACATTTATAGTCCAACTAAAATTTGAAACTAATTAAAACTACTAATCAAGAATTTACCAAAGTTTTGACTTAAATGCTCGTAATACAATACAAATTAATTATAGTAATTTTTAAATTGAAACAATTTCAGGTGAAGAAGATATAGCTTTTATAGATGTAGCACCTAATTCGATGGCAAAATTACCAGAGAAGGGAATATTAAAGAAGCATGGATACGGTGCTGTAGATGGCAAGGATAAATGGGCCGATGATTCACAATCTGAGCAACTGGAGGCAGGCTCCCAGTCAGATGGACAAGAGCCAGCGGGTGCTGTTGCAGATATGGAATATAAGTTTAAGGTATCCTATATTAATAATAATGATCATTTATTTTCTAACTGCTTTAAGTTTACCTGCATCTGTTGATTTAAAGTAGTCACACTATTTCTTTAATAACCGCTCATACACAGTAATTATACTTTTATATGGTTACAACTCGAGAACTGTAATCGACTCAGTAGCAGTCTAATTAGCCAATCTTTCGGGCTACGTAGGATAAGTAGCCCGAAGACAGAACGCAGAAAAAAGACATTTAAATAAAACTTAAAATATAATTAAATATAGGTTATGTTCAATGTAGGTGAATAGTGCATATTATATTATATAGCCACTTATTTAATGTATGGCATCAAGGTAGTAAATGTATAAAGATCTTACTCAAGAAAATACAGCTCACCTTAGAAACCTTCTTAATTCTGAAAATTTGCTCTAAATTACAGATGTGGTAAAATTTTGTTAATATGAATATAAAATATATTTTAGGATCTAAATGGGTACCACGAGAATATAATCGTGGCGCTAAAGACAGCGGCAGCACAAAGAGCAAGCGCCGGTGCCTCGCGAGGTTCTGGTGACCTGCGTGCTTTACAAGAGTACGAGTATAAGCGAGAGCGTGCACCGAGCGCAGAAAAAATCCACGAGGCCGAACTACGCCGGCAGCGTGCTGAAGACGAGGAGGACGAACCCCCTCCTTGCGGCTCCATCCGCATCCGCAACTTAGAGGATCTTATCCGTCAGCTCGAGCACCATTCCAGTCGGCATATGAGCCCTTCCGGCTCTGAAGACATACGCATGTCTGAAACAGAGGCTGATAGACATTATAGAATCGAGCCTGGAGAAGTTCCACCGTGAGTAGTCTTTATTATTTTCAATAGTCCAATAATAACAAACTTTTAAACGGAAGTGTCACAAGAAAGTCAAAGATCTCCATACATTAAACCGAATGAAGTAAGACAAAATAATATAATCGCATAAGTAAGAACATTAATCGTGTTACTAGAAATATATGTCATTGTAACAGATAATTGCGACGTTGCCACACTTTAAGAACGCTCATAAATTATTATCTAATTACAGTCGTTGCCGAGGGCGCATAGCCGGCGAGGAAGAGTCGCGGTTCGGGTACCCGCGGTTTCGAGGCAGCGGACGTCACCACGCACCGTTGTTCGGCGCGGGCGCAAGCGCAGCCACGCCGCCCGCCGCCATGCACGCGCCGCACCCGCCGCACGTGCCGCACGTGCCGCACCCCGCGCACGCCGCCCACGCTGCCCACGCCGCCCATGCGCGGCCCGCGCCTGACGATGACGCGCTCTATGAGACCGCGGACGCGGAACGGCTGCGTGATGCGCCAGATAGCGAGAGGTAAGCTTACACTCTTTATATTCATTTTATTAAATGTTTAAGTGCATTTGCACATCTAAAAAATCTTTCAATGCATTGGTTAAGTCAGTAATAAAATAAAAGCAGAATTAATTTTGTACATTCCTACTTAAATGCTCCATTTTTGCAAACAAATTTAATAAATTGCTATAATTTCGTGGTACGAGTTCAAAGAGAGTACAACTGTTTAATCATTTGAGTCAAATAACAGATGCAGATAATTAACGCATAAAAATAATCCAAATGAATACGATATAGACTGAAAAGGGTGTCTCCTAATATTACTGTAGTTACAACAGATATCTGTTAAACTTATCCACGATGATTGATTCCATGAGCATTATAAAAAACACTCACAGCCTGTACTTCGAACAGAATCAATGTATGAAATTACTTCTGCTCCGGGCGCTCGTTTTAGTATTTATCAAGCGTCAGCAGCGAGCGCTCGCTATTTCCGTTAGCTAAGCACTCGCCAGAGCTCCCAGGCGGGCCTCCAGCCTTCGTAGCGCGCTACCAGCGAAGGCGCCGCCCGCCGGGCCGGAAGCCCGCCTCGGAGGCGACGGCGCGCCTCGACTCTCCGTTCCTCTTCTCTATCATTTTCTAGTGATGAATTTATTCAAGCTCAACAACAGTTAGCCCGGTGGGCGAGTGAAGACGCGGTGCCGGCGGCGGCGCGGCGCGAGTACTTCCCGTCGCCGCCGGGCAGCTCGGGCAGCTCGGCGACGGTGCGCGCGGGCGGCGCGGGCGGCGCGGGCGGCGCGGGCGGCGCGGGCGGCGCGGGCCGCGAGCGCGCGCCGTCGGCGGCGGCGGCGGCGGCGGCGGCGGCCGCGTTCCCCGAGTACACGCACTGACGCGCGCGCCGCCGCGCCACGGCGCCTGCGCCCGCGCAGCCGGCCCGCGGCGCCGCCTCCGCACCCTAGCCTAGTAATCGATGTATCGAGCTCTGTTTGCACTGTTAGGATAATCACATTAACGACTAGTTTAACCGTTAGTAAGGAACACAATAAATCTTCTCACGCGTAGCTAAAATAATTAAAGGTATAGTGAACCGGATGGCGGCCCGTCGGCGGCGGCCGCGCGCCCCCGTCGACGGAGCGCCGCCGCTTGTGAATACATAGTTATTGTTAGCGAATCAGTGACTTGTAAATAATATTGAACTATGAAGTATTAAATGCACAGTATATAAACGATATGACTGAACTTATAGTATTTGAACATTTAGAGTAATCTGTTGAATGTAAGTACCGATTCGGTGGAGTGTATCGCCCGCCGCGCCGCCGAAGAGTACTGTTACGTTGATACGTTTAATAATTAATATATGTTCCCTTAAATCGATACGCTTTATAACTCTTATCTCTGTTCGGTGCCGCGTCCCTCGGCGGTGGCGCGGCGGTTTGTATGTCTAAAGTAAATTTAAGTAAGACATAACGTTTTATGAACGTAGCGTTAAGGTTAAGTTGTACGGTGCCGAGGTCCTGTCTGACGTCGAGCTCGCTTTCGTTTGATCTCCGACGTACGAAGCTCAAGTAGCTTGCACATTAGATAGGCGTTTAACAAATTGAGCTCTAATAATCGAAGCTTTAATGGTACCTGTCTTAGTTTGAGAGGACGTCGATACGGACGTCTGTGGACGAGCTCGACGTCGCCTTTGATCTGTGAATGTTTTGTAATATCGAATACCGATAATTTAATGATCGATTGGTTGATTGATTAGTTGAATCCGAGTACTCGATTCCGAGTGTCATTGCCACATCGTTCAGTTGGTCACTTCACTAGTTCACTAATCACTACTATCAGGAAGTAGGGCGACAACGCAACCGTCCCCGGAGAGAACCAATCGCTTTCATTCTATATCACCTCTCCGAAAATGCGCCCAACTTCGGAACGTAGCATTTCTCCCTATCGCGTTTAGGATATTAATGAAATACGACAACACCAATAACATGAAGCGTTCTCATGCTTTACATGAAACTAACGAACAATTGAATATTTTCCATAGCCCAATTCAGAGATCTCGTATCACCGTGCACAATAACTTCGTATAAATTAGCCACTAACGTACACATATTCTAAAACTTTAATGTGAATAAAAGTTATTTCGATTTTATCAGAATATCTATTATTATTGTATTGACATTAAACGAATTTACGCCGATTAAATGATGTGGAAAGATGTATGTTATGAAATGTAATATGTTATAGTTTTCTCGTTTATTTTATTGACAATTTAGAACGTTATCGTTTCATTCGCGTTTACGCTAGGTTAGGTGGCACGGCCACGGATGTAACATGTAGTTAAAAACGTAACTAACAGTTAATATATTGAATAAATAAAATAAAATTCGATTAGCCTCGTATCGGCTGCTATCACTCTGGTACGATGTTCACTGGCGCTGTGAGGCCCCGCGCCCTGTTTCCAAGTAATTACTCTATAGATATACGTTATACTTAAGTAAGTCTAAATAGATACTATGAACACGTACAGGGTAGATGTGGTTGCAATACTCTGTAGCTGGGGGGCGGCGCTCGCTGTTGGCGGACACATGACGTCCAGTTATACCATCAACTGATATTAACTTATGTCCCGGGATTTGCGATGGAATCATAGACACCGTAGTTCGTGTCAACAGTACATTGTATCCTAATAGATCGTGCAGTCTAACCGATTAAATCCTACAAACGATTGCTTGTAACATTGTACCTATATTTATCAAAATATTCTTGTAAATAAGGTTGCCAGTATGGGCCCCGCATTAATTCCTAAAATATTAAAAGTTATTGTTAAGAATATGTTTTTTATGTAGACAATAAAATAAATATTATATATATATATAAATTATAACTAATTAATGATTAATGTAAAATCAGAAACTACATAGCTGTCGGAAGCGTAAAACTAAAACTACCTACTAATATACAACTATATAATTAGTTCAGCAACCTCGATGATTCTAAATTTTCATGTAGCTCTAAATCACTTTGTATATGCGATAATGGAATCTTTAAAATGTTACTTGAATCCCAGAGGACGACACTGGCAACCTGGTTGCAAGCGGTATATTGCAAGTTGGTTGCAAGCGGTATATTGCAAGTTGGTTGCAAGCGGTATATTGCAAGTTGGTTGCAAGCGGTAGATTGCAAGTTGGAGCGAGTGACCGTCACCCAGCGGGGGTCGCGTGCGCGCGTTACGCCTAGCTCACACTAGGCCAATCAAATATTTCGCATTTGACTAACTTCGATACAGGGACTGTACAAGGAGTGACATAAAGATTAACAAATCTAAATCAAACGATATTATTCATAAAACTGAACAATTTTACACAAGAAATAATAAAAAAAAATCGTTAATTTTCTCATAATAACCCATACAATATTTTTTTTATATATAATATTTCGTTACGTATGTATTGGTACATCAACCTCTTAACAGAAATAGTATTCAGATCAATTGAGGATTAAGTAAACCTAATTCATCGTTTACCCTTGTTACGTCGACTTACCAGCTGATTTTTTCACGCATCTCTCGAACACCGGAAGGTTGTTGGTTTCAAGGAATATATACAAAAGAAGTTAGTGTTCACAAACCCATATAGTAAATTCAGTTTCTAGACGGTATATCAAAATAAAATATGTCTTTAATTATAAAGGCAGTTATCTCATGCGAAACATTGTCGTAAATGAGCAATTATTTGATACCAAGAGATTCAGTGTTGATTGAAGTATATCGTAAACTATCCCAATTAGTTGACATACTCCATTGTTTATTACAATTGTGTCTATTTTCTTAGCAATTTAAATTGTTCAGTTTTCTGTATACCTAATGTTTTTATGCTTCAGCTTGTTTCCTTTCTGTCATACCTTGGATATCATGTCAGTAAATGTTAAATGCTAAATTTAAAACTTGACCTAGTGGGAACCAGACTGTAAACACCAGGCTGATCGGTGCTATCGATTATTCAAGAAGTATCTTCCAATTAGAATGACAATGACATAGTCTGTGATGTTTATCAACTATCTATCTTCGAGTTAAAAAGGTCGACAGAGAAAGCCAAGTGCAAAAAGCCTCTGTTTTTTTTATCCATCTTCTAATCTTATGTTCACGTCTTTAGGTGCTCTTAATTTCTTTATTACGATTAATAAGGCATTATTTTTAAATCTAGTATCATGCTAAAACTTTATATTAATACGTAGAAGTAAGAGATCTCCGTTTTGCAATTATTGACTGTATGATTATGCGGTCAATCACTTTATTTCTGCATATTTAATACATAATTGATGATAACTTTCAGACAGAATTCGTTTTTTTATATTTTTATTTTATCAATTTTCGCGTTGTTTCGATGACATCAACTTTACATACCGTTATTAAAATATCAAATTATTAAAAGACTTAATACTTAAGAAGCAGGTATATATATAATTTTTAAGATGTTACTTCATAAATTAACATAAATAAACACTGCCAACATAAAATCAGTGTTAGCTAAATTACGAATAGATTTTAGAATAATGCCATAAGTAAACAGTAATGCCAAATATAAAAAAGAAATGCTGTTTATAAATAAAATAATAAATAACCTACAAAACTTGGTGGAAGATCGTGATCACCATTCTTTTTGGAAGTTTTCTTAACATATGCACACAAATAAATCTGCAGTAAATTGTATCTTATTGGAAATATTTTAAAATTAATAGCTCTATGTTTAGGATTTTTTTTTATCACGTCTTTAGAAGCGGATCAGTGTTGTATAAAAATGTAATACCGTGCCAAACTGGTTAAATTATTTGGCTATTTCAATATTTTATTAGCAATATTGTCAAAATTGTCACGTCTAATAGATGCAGGAATTATGAATTATCGGTTTTAAATTTTCGATCTTTGAACGACTGTATATTCAGACATTATTATTATAACCTCAAAATTAATGTTGATTTAATATATTAAAATATGTTTTATACTATTTATTTTGACAAACAAACTGATAGCTCTACTAATAAAAAATTTATCACTATCCATTTAGTAAAAAAAAACCTTGAAAGAATCTACAACATAGTTAGTCATATTTAGATTAAGTAAACATTGAAACAGACTTGATTTTTTTTTAAATAATTTCTTTCTTGCGCTACACGTGTACCTACAAATATGTAAGTAACAAATTAATGTACTTGTATCGATAATCATAACAAAAATATATTCGCTGTCTCTTCTCACTTTTAAGCCTTCTAAACTAAAACAAAACAAAGAAAAATACTCATACAGACACCCACAAACGACTTGAAGTTTTTTATAACACAATACATTTTATTTTTATGGTTATATTCAAGTTATTTGTCACGACCACACGTTAAAATGATAAATGAAAAGTTGGATTGGGATCAAAGATACGAAAAGATTGTAATGTATCTTCTATAGAGATAAAAAAATGAATAAAGTGAGAGTTTCAAAGTCTATCTGTTTTAAATTTGGAAAATGGAATGTTGATCCGAGTACATATTTAGATATTGAGAAAATAGTTTGAAAAATGAATTCGAATCCTGTCGGTTCAAACTGTTAGACGGTAAAGTTTTTCAATCTTATTTTGGACTTAATGAATTACACCATTGAATGATGTCTGTAAAAGTAACTTGTAACGATAATGCAACTGAATTGGTCGATTTATTTGTGTGCGCGATAGCACAGATCCGTTTGTATGCATAGGCCTAACACGTCAATTGCGAACGGCGCCGTACTCCGCCATTGCTCACGGTGGTGCCTAAAAGTCTTCGCGCAAATGTTTGTAAGCACTAAATTAAAGAAAAGGCAATCTTCCTAAAATAGAATGTAAGGTATAATATCGCAGATCTGGGCGGTTAAAAAGTCCACGTTGCATAAATCATAAACAGGAATCACTTTATATAATTTCCCGATATAAAAACACTAGTCCGTTAATATTACGCCTGCAGTGCGAGGGGCCTATTAAACTTTGTAGGATATATAAAGCAAATCTTGTTTTGATTTATGTAAAATGAACTTTTTAACCCCCCTGTTTATGTATGATCTCCGAGGCGCAGTAGTAAATATGGTCCCTGATTCGATACTTAGACGGGCCAATTTAGAAATCAAACTATTTCGAATTGGCTCGGAACTTGGTATCCTAGATTCTGCCCTCAAAAACAGGGTATAGTGTTCTAACTTGAGAATCAGGAAATTGGTGTGATTTTGTGACATTAGATATCATCAGGTATCAGATAATATTGAATACTGACGAAGAATTTTTTAAGACTTTTTATCTGAACCGTGAGAAGTGAAATCTTTACGTGTAAGTATTGCAAAGATTGAACAGAATATAAGGGAAAGTAATTAAGTATCCAGTAGTTAGGTAGAAACTATTTATTGCACGGAACGTTATTGAAACATCAATTTTAACATCCCGAGGAAAATGTGTTGCTCAAAAAGAATATTTCCTCGAAAAAAAAAATCTTACGACCATTTGCGCCAAGCAACCAACACCACCGAACTACTTATATAGAAATGTTAAACTTAAGTGATATTATGTAATATAAAAATACGAATTTTAAACGAAGAACACGTTGACACGTAATTTTCAGTTTGATTTTGTCCTTGTAAATATATTTGCTATATGATTTACTAAATGAATGTAACATATTATTAATGAAAAAATAGATGAACACAAATTTTATGGCTTGTTTTATTATATCCTTCACCTTTAATCATCATCATCATCATCATCATCATTTCAGTCGCTAACTTTTAAGAGCGACTTTGTTCACGTGACTGGGATGCGTTTATTAAACGAGCATATCAAGTTTTGTGATGCTCGATGATCAGTTAAGACACCAAGAGGTAATAAACAAAATAAACTCGCCTTCACACTTTTAATACTTTACATTGCTGTGCCTGTGTGCATCAGTATATAAAGTTTACTAATCCTAATTTATCATATATATGCCGTGTGATCCCGGCATAGAACAGGCTACCCCTTCCTTTCCCATAAGTGTCGTAATAGGCGACTAAGGGAAGGCGAGGGATGGGCAGCAGAATCTCTTAAAACATGTCTAAAAGCCTAACTGCGAGTGCCAAGCATGGCAACTATTGACAAAACTCTATATGAGGAAGGCTTATGTTCAGCAGTAGACAGTTATCGGCTGAAATAATAATAAATCCTAATAATATAATACAGAATGAGGATGTAAAAAATCTGTATACAAAATTTCATTCAAATCCGTTCAGCCATTTAAGTATAAAAGTAGACTAATCTTAGTTCTTGAGTCCTTAATCTTCAGGAATATATTGGAGATATTATGATCTCAAATCAGCAAATTTTGTGTTATTTTTGCACATACTTTAAATCCAGTAATAAAATTTATAATTAAATTACTTAGCATTTGATAAAGAATAGATAAATTCCCTTGCAACACTTAATGTCGTAGTAAGCGACTTCCAATGCTGCAACCAATGATCTATCTTTAAATAACTCTAAAGAATTGAAACACTAATGATAGTAATATGTGAGTAGTATATATTGATTAAAACAGTAAATTAATTCGATATATCAGTACTATCGCTCGTCCTTCTAATTAGAAATTTGGCAAAATCATCTTTTTGTGGGTCGAATGAACTTATCTTCTCACACTGTGCCGCAAGAGCAGCTTGCTGGATTTGTTCTCCGAATGCTTTAACATCCTCTCTTTTCAATTCGACCATGTATTTACGAGTCTCCATTATAACAACAGCATCGTCTCTAGCCATCGACCAAACGCTCGGTTTAATTTTTGGCAGAATATTGTGACCCACAAAAACACCATGAAATAAACCCTGGAACTGAGGTTTATGTGGATAATGATCCAGCGCTGACAGAGAAAGGAAATGAATCTTCCCGTAATCGACATTTATGTATGTATCACGATCTTCACGAAGTAGTAAAGGTGCCTCTGGCCTATTCTCGGAAAGTTTAGCATCTAATTCACTCATCACAACCATTCCTAAATTTTGTTCCATATCTATATTCATTAATTGTGCATCAAATTTTTGTCTATGTTCCACTTCATAAAGCATCCTCATTACGTTACGTTCAGATATGTCTGTCGCTCTTTTATAATTAACTCCGTGGGAAGACTTCAGCATATCTTTGTCTTCACAATCTAGTCCATAACCAATATACGGAGATGTTACCATATCTCCTAAATAACCTCTGTGGAGATAACGATCACCGCACTTATAAACACCAGCAGCCAGAGTCACATTTGGTCGACAAACTTCCGTCTCTAGCCACGTAAAAGGAACACCATGCTCTCTAAAATGTTTATATTCTTGTACACATATTTGACTGGCTATTTCTTTTATACGCATATGATAATCCCAGTCATAAACGCCAGCTCTATTATCATATCTGACTCCAAGACTATACCTAATACGATGTTCCCAAAGCTCGCATGCATTAAATTGATTGGTATTACCAGTAGTCCAAAAATTTAAAAGATTTTCCATATAGTCTTTTTCTCGATATTTCATTTGTTCCACAGAGACGTAAGGTAGAAGACCATTCATATATTCTGGATTAGTAATCATTGCAACTAGTTGACGGGCTTTTGCGATTACGTATCTAGATGTCGGCGGTCTTAGTAGGATGTTACCATAAACCTCGAGGAAACGTCTGGTTTTTTCCAAAAGTCCACATCGTGTTGTTCTCTCTAATCCCAAAGAAATGAGTAGTAGCTGCCTGGCAATGAGTTCTGGGCATCCGTCGATAACAAAAAGATTCATATAACGTCTTGTGTGTCGGTAGGCTTGCGCCAATGTCTTCATAAGATGTCTTCCATCACAACCTCCGATGACCAAGAAATTCAATTCATATGCATTTTCGTCACCGTGTTTAAGGTACTCCTGTTGCAAATCAAGAGCTGGACTTATACCCCAAAACATTTTACTTTAGCCGTGTTTTCACCGCAAATGACAATGAAGAAATGCTATATCAATGTCATGGTAACGTAAACACGTAGGTATGGTGCTTTGCAGTTTTATTTAGCTAAAGGGGGTTGCTATGGTAACGTATTTATACGTTATCTACGATAGTTACCCGTGATAACCTTTATGTAAGTTGCACCTTCGATTAATTAATTTTATCCATCTAAATCAATATTCTAAATATCCGATGAAGTGGCAATAAAAGGCCTTCATTGTATATATAATATCACATTATTCTACTAAAAGTACTATTATTAAGAGGTTTAAATCCCATTAAGTATAATAAATTTGTCGGGTGCTCTCGGCATAGAATAGGCTACCCCTTCCTATCACGTGGGTGTCGTAAGAGCCGACTATGAGAATGCGAGGGATGGGTAGCGGCATCCCTCTTGAAACATCTGTAAAGCCTGACTGCGGTTGCCAATCATCTTGCCAAGCGTGGCAACTACTAGCAAAACCCCCCAAGGGGGAAGCTTATGTTCAGCAGTGGACAGTGTTCAGTGTTTAATAATAGACGGATATTAGCTGGTTAGATTACATAAATAGAACCTCCAGTCTTAAAAACGGGTAACCTTTTTATCAGCTACTTGTCAAGTAAGCCGAATCGTTTTTTTTTTTTTAATAGTATTACTACGCACACAGTCACAATTAATAAGTGACCGCCACTTTTATTTTATTTGTTATTTGACCGATTGCTTTCAAAATTGATATCTGAAGATCGGCATACACTTCAAATATGGATCCGGTGGAATTAATCAAATTGGCAGCCATTTTTATTTAAAGTGATATACCTATTTATTTGGATAAAATAAGAAAAGAAAATAAGAAATACAAGTAGTGTTAGTAGGCAAGTGCATTAGAAAATGGGATCAAAAACTGAATTTTCAGGTTCTATACAAGTATATCTGAAAACTTATTTTTTATTTAGCAAATTTAAAGCTTTATTATATTACATCTATTTGTGTTTCACTAAGATGATCCTCTAAATCCTTAGCTAACTACTATTAATGCTACTTTAAATAAATTTTAAGGAATAATAGATTACATTAAAAATTAAATCGGTAAAAACAGTTCACATTTTATTTATTTTTTAATAATCTTCTTTAATGATTATAAGTACAATTATTCTGAACTATTTACATACAGTTCTTTATTGTAAAATGAAAACTAAATACTGGACAATTAAATTAAATATATAAATATAAAAATTATACAAAGGGATGCAGTTTATCTAATATTCAAAAACGTAGAAACTCTGTACCCTGTAAACTGTGAGTTTACAGGGTACAGAGGAATAATACCTGAGTCCTCAGGAATGGCAACACATTGGGGGGGGGGGGGGGGTATCATGGGCGAAACAATATACTCTGTTATATCCATGGTACTGCTTATGTCTATAGGCGACATTACCACTTTCCATCAGGTGAGCCGTGAGCTTGTTTGCCATTCTAAATTGTATAAAAAAAATATTTAATCTTGAGAATATTTAGAAACAAGTATAAAGTATAACTACTTTTTTTGGGATAAATAATATAAAATACTATGTAAAATTGTTTTATAGAAGTAATAAATGTATAAAATAATTATTGCGGCAAATTTCATATTTTATTAATAATAACTCAAATAAAACGATAATTATAAACGCAAATATCATTTATTTTAACAAATTTAAAAATAAATGCCTCTTTACAACACAATAGGCTTGATTTTGACTAATAGTCATTCTCTTATTTAAGGAGATGTTTTAGACCGACCTTTAGAGAATGCCATTTCAGAATCAGTCCCAATATAATAATGTGCATTACTTTAGTTATTTACATTAACATTTTGTTCAGTTAATAAATAAATATATTTTTTTAAAAATTAATTGTTATAAATAAATTTATATTTACATTCTTAAAATCAAGTTTGTTATAATACTGACAGTGATGGTTACATTAAATGATAACATTTAGATATTTGAGAACTAACAACAATTACGATAAGTTCAGATGATGTAACTAAATAATATAATAAAATATAATATAAATACAGTTTTATATATAACATTTTTTGAATTATAATGATAAATGGTTAATTCTATTTTGTGATAATTCATTATTTATATCACAGAAGTCAAGTTTAATGACTTGAAATAGTTATTGGTTCAAAATACAAAAACTTTATTCCTATCAAATGAAAGATTCGATTCAATAGACAACAATAACAAGTAATATCAAGTTGCTTATTTATATAGTTAGATATTGGTCTTGGGTAAACCAATTTAGAAAAATATAGAGATTTGATTTTGTATTATCAATATAGTGATACTGCAGTTTTTGATCGTTTACATACTCATTGGTCAATTCCTTAAGAATTACTTCCGGCTCGAAGGACCACTAATTTATGTTTACAAAATGTGCTGATTCTTGTTATTATATATATTATTATTAATTATATTAATTGTAAGTGAAAATGCCGTCTGTTGACTTGATATTTTTGTATGTATTTTTTATTTTAATTGTTTATCAATTTTCTTTTTTATAAAAAAAACTACAATGTCATTGTATGTAAAAAGGTTAATTTTGAACACTCACAATATCCAAATGGTTTATGTGGTCCTGGCATAGAATAGAATAGGCAGCATCGTCTTAAAACTTAAAACATTATCTAAAAGCCTAACTGCGGTTGTCAACCTGACTGCCAAGCGTGGCAACGATTGGCGAAACTCCCCTTACGAGGATGGCTTTTGTTCAGCAATGGGCATTTAATGGCTGAAATAATGATGATGGCTAATTGGAGAAAACAAAATTCTTAAAATCAATCAAACTTTTTACAAACTATCTCAGTTTACAATCAGCCAAATCAAATTTATATGCCCATAGTAAATATAATAAATAAATATTGAGGTTTAATTACAGATACAATTATTACTTGGAGTCGGCATAATATTTATTTTTTATACAATTTAGAATGACAAAGAAGCTGACGGTCCACCTGATGGAAAGTGGTAACCGTGGCCTATAGACATAAGCAGTACCATAGACATGACAGAGTATACTGTTTCGCCCATGATACCCCCCATGCGTTGCTATTCCTGAGGACTCAGGTGTTATTCCTCCGTACCCAGTAAATTCACGCCATATCCCACCCTTCAAACCGAAACACGGCCATGCAAACACAACTGCTTCACGGTTGAAACACGAATGGGACAGAATTAAAAATTATATTACAAAAAGATTTAGCTTTTAGTTTTACAACCGGCCGCCTGCCCGACGTCAACCCTTTTTGGGAAAAATATAAATATAAGACATAATTTAAAACACGACTATACAAGTTGAAAAACATAAAAAATATTGTAGAAAAATATTGCGGGATTATTTTTTTAAAACCTTAACATCATACGATTACAACACACATTATTCGATTTATTCATATTTTCTTGTTTTTTTTTGTTTCTAATTAATTATTGATAGTGTTAATGAAGTGTTAATATCGTTCGTTAATTCAAATTCAGTTCATGCCTTTACATCCCGCAATCGATTTTTTACAACAATCATATAATCATTGTTGTATTTGTAAAAAAAAATTAAAATTAAAATAATTGTAAAAATAATTCACTGGAAACGTGCATGGATTGATAATAATAATAATAATAATTTGCATAATTTTAATTAACTACTGATTTGAGAATATTTTAATAACTATTTTATTTCTGGCAACCTTTTTTGTGAGTCTATTTTTATAATTTTTCTTAGCATTTCTACATTCTAAAAAGTATACTCTCAATTCGGTTTCATTTAAATTTAATCTTGTTCAAAGTAGCTATTTTCAAAAGAAAATTATAAGTCTTTATATCACATTATATATAATAATTTATAATTTTTATAACAATAATGTTTAGTAATGTATTAATTTTTTTATTTAATTGTATTTTACTTTGTAAAATAATATAAATATATCTAATATGACAAAATTAATTTACTTCATATAGGTATATAAGGGTTTTTAAATGAATTTAATACCAACATTAAAGTAAACAGTCACATAAATACAAAGAAATAAAAAAAATCCAATAAATATTTCCAATGTTACTATAAATATAATATTCGAAGATAAATATTATTTTAATTATAAAATAACTAACTGTACACCAAAGATAAGGGTATATGAGCTACTACTTATAATAAATACTCGTATTCGAGGCACTAAATCAGTCTACACAAAATTACATATCTATTTATTAATTTAACTAAAATAATACAATAAAACCAAAAACTAACATTTATGCATTCATAAACACTCACCACGTTTAAACTTATAATAAATCTATTTAACATACGACACAATTAATATTTTACATCTTTGGAACAATGAAAGTAGTTTATGTATTAAAAACTTTACATTCCTTATCTTAAAATTTAAATTTTAAAAGAAACAACGCAATAATATACATGAACACAACAAGAAAATAAATAGCTACAACTTAATTCTATATTATAATGTATTTGATGCTAAACATGCGACTAGACAGATCAGTAATTCGGTTATTATTTCTGATTTAAACTATTATTGATTAAAAAGTAATTAGATTAATAGTAAATTCAATATTCTACATTAATTAAAGCAAAGAAAAATAAAGGCAAGAAAGAAGATATCTAAATTTGCTTATGCTGAACATAATGCATGTTTATCGATATGTGAAAACAGTTGATCCATGCGTCACATTTGGAACTTTCATATAGTATAGAAAACTATAACAAAATAATAGTGATACGAAAAATTACTTCAACATTTTTAAAACAATAATAAATTTTATGAATCATTTAAGTGGTAAATATAATACTACTGTGGTATATCATGAAAATTTAGAATCATCATCAGAAGCTAATGACCTAGGTTTGAGGTTGTTAGCCTCCATAGAGGAGACACTTCTGTCCCTACCTCTTGATACACCAGCCACACTTCTGTTAGTGTACGTGGAAGAAGTGACAGGAATCTTGCGAGTCTGCTTAATCTTCAATTTATTCAACCAGAGATCTCTAGTTTTCTTATTACCAACAATAATAAAAATAAATAACACGAAACCTTGCAAAGTAGCAGTGCAAGTAAAAAAGTAAGCAGCTACGATATTGTATGCAAAGAGGCCAAATATCCAGGGTAAACCGAATAAAAACACAAGCAAACAACTAACACACGCACATCTCAGTGCGTCATTTGAATCGCCGTGCCTCTGAATCCTTCTAGAAGCAAACACAGAACGGACTATTAGGATAAATAGTGTCCAGTTTGCTAATAGCATAAGCGCAACGGGCGCATAGACAGCCAACCATAGGCTAAGACCTGAAGGATAACAAAAACTTCCACTGGGAGACTTCTCTTCAAATTGTACCGCATAAGAAAACGGCTCCACTGAAAGAAGAACGCCCACTACCACAAATGGAGCTCCCCATGAAAAAGCAGAAGCTCTCAGAAGCTTATGAGATATCTCTCTAGTAAATACTAACACCAGTCTTCTGTACGATATAACAGCTGCTACTAACATCCAACAGAAGGACGCTAAGACTGAATAATGCAACATTACTCCAACTAGCATACACGGAATATCATACCCGTCAAATTTGACAAAAACAATAATCATAAAACAAATAGATATAAGAAATATTGCAATACATAGTTGGAGCCAAATTCTATTGCTGAATTCTCTTCGCCAAGGCCGAAACATTACCGCTGTAAGCATAATTAAAATTATACCAAATAGAGAAAGAGAACATCCTATTATAGACAATATTTCTAACGTATCCTCGTGGCGTTGTGAAAAAATTGTCCGAGGAATAAGAATTTCAGCAAAGTGTGTCAGATGGTCGCATCGGCAAGTATCCAATATTCCAGGCTCGGTTGATTTGATGAATGTGCAGCCGTTCGTAGACCAGTATCCTGTGCCGTTTTCTGTGAACTCCCAGTAGGCGCATGTGCGACTAGCATTGCGGTCTGGTTCTTCTACCAAAGGGCTCAGGTGAATATCTATCACCTAGGGAATTGTACGTTATATTATCTTTTCTTATTAAAGAATAAACAACTATTATAAGTAATTTCATCTGATATCAAAAGTTTATTCATTACCTTGCTTATGCGCATACATATTATTGCAACGCTATTATTTCATTTAGATTTATATTTGTACTATTGCAAAATAGATTTATATTTAATACTATAACCTTTATTATAAATAAAAAAAAAATCTTTATAATTGTACTGTTGTAATTATTTCGATTGGAGATTACAATCAGGAATTTAATATTATTTATATATGCGAAATTATTTTTAAATTTATCATTAACTTTATCAAGATAATAAGGTACGCTGATTAAAGTATCATCTGCATCTGTGTTTACTTTATTATTCTTATTTAGATCAAATAATAATAATATGTATAGCAAAATAGTACTATATTACATAGCTTTATTTAATTCTTTATCAACATAAGATTTTTTATTTTATGTCTATTGTCTCAGTATAAATATTCAGTCATAGAATAATTTGGTAAAGTTGAACTCATATAATTGTTAGGTATATAAAATCCGATCTCAACTCTAACAGTAACATTATTTTTTCCAAAACTACTGACAGGTATAAAAACATTTTCTTTATGTATGTATCAGATAGTCATAAATTGTATTAAACTTACCTCTCCGTTTTCAAACGTGGTCATATTTCCAACGTTAACGCTGACTACTTTGCTGTTAACGATACCGACCTCCTTGGTACATTGAAAAGCGAGTTCATTCCGAAATACGACGAAGCTTATACGACGGGGTGATTTAGTCACAGATTCTGGTAAGTACACAAGGGCTTCACTTTCGTTGGTCATTAAGTGAGTGGTGTTTATATCCTCTGCAAAAACGTAATGTAATTAAAAAAAAAAAACTTCCGAAACGTATAACTGTAAACTGATGATCATACCACAAAAAAAGTTAACTTGACGATGGACAGGAATTAGATAAATGTTTAAAAGACTTATTAAGAAAAGAACATCTAAAATGATCTATATTTATAAATATAATAAAAATCAATTACTGAATGGATCTTACTTCAAGACAACTATTTGCTAATTATTTTTAATTGTATTTTTAATTTTCGAAAAAAGAATTATATGAAATATAGGTTAATAAATCTCCATATAGAATTACTCACTCATTCCCTCAAAATGAGTAAATACTTAATAAATATATTCCCTTACCAGCCAAAAATTGGAAATCCGTGAAGTCATTAGTTCCAGAGCTATTCGCGAGCCTGAATCCTCTAACTGGATTTTCAGGCGCCGCATCAGCTACCAGTAATGCTATGTTCTTTCTGATAGTCGCGCCCGTTCTTGATCCGTTTAAGTATACTCTCGAACCAAGATCATCGAGCAGATTTAATAATCTACCGGGGATTGCTTCTAAACCAATATCAAACAAATTATCAACCTGAAACATTCAAAGTATTATTTGTAGCTTTTAGCTCATATCCTTCTTCAGGGTTCGTTCGCGTGATCCCGTCATAAAAAAGTCCACCCCTTCCTTTCCCGTAGGTGTCGTAAAAAGCGACTAAGGGAGGGCGAGGGATGGGCAGCATTGTCCCTCTTAAAACATCTCTAAAGCATAACTGCGGTTGTCAATCCACCTGCCAAGCGTAGCAACTACTGTCAAACCCCCCCAAGGGGGAGACTTATTTTCAACAGTTCATTATTACGGGGATTTTGCTAGAAGTTTTCACTCTTGGCAGGCGGATTGTCAACCACAGTTTAGCTTTGTTTATTTTAAAAAGGGACGCTGCTGCTCATCCCTCGATCATTGAAATCCAATTCAATTTCAATTATGGCAAAAAAATATATAAAAACTACACTAGGAAACCGATTTTTATAAAATCTATGGGATCTATCTGTAAGTTTAAAAAACTAAAAAACCCTTTTAGATAAAACACGAATTTTCCAAATCGGTCTAGAACTGACGGAGTTATGACGTAACAAAAATAAAAAAAAATATAACTGAATCGAGAACATCTTTCTGTTTAAAATTGTTGGATTAAAAACTGTAATTACCTGATCAAATGTATCTTCTATTTTTTCTACTGTTAGAGTTATAGAATTGTCCTGTAGCAATGTATCCAAATCATTTAACACCTGTTCCAGCTGATCTTCAGGCTGTAAAATGTGAATTTTATGGTGTAAAAAGAGAGTTTTTCCATGCAACTTAGAATGGCAAACAAGCTTACTCCTTACACCTTACTCATTACATTCGGGGATTAGTAATTCACTTCATATTATTACTGAACAATGTTTTTTATTTTATTTTTTTATTCAAAATCATTTATGATAAAAATAACAATAACACAATATTTTGAGTGATGACAATGTTAGTTATGCAACGGAAACATTAATCACATTGTATTAGTAATGAAAGCTCCTTTTTTTAAACGAAAGTATAAGTGCAACAAAAAATTTGTTAGGTATTACAAGCATTCATAATTAGCTCGCCAAAGTGTATTATATTTTAGTTACAATATCTATATAATGGTCCAATAACGAATATGTTAAAAATCTGTATCTAAAAAATAATATTGGATAAAAGACTTTAAATATATCCGACCGATATGGGCGATATTGAAATGGATGATGACCTTTTTTCCGCCATCAATGTTTTTTTTTTTTTATACAACTTAGAATGGCAAACAAGCTGACGACCCACCTGATGAAAAGTGATAACCGTCGCCTATAGACATGAGCAGTAAAATGGACATAACAGAGTGTACTGTTTCGCCCATGATACCCCCAATGCGTTGCCATTCCTGAGAACTCAGGTGTTATTCCTCTGTACCCTGTAAATTCACGCCATATCCCACCCTTCAAACCGAAACACAGCCATTCAAACACAACTGCTTCACGGTAGAAACATGAATGGGACAGAGTTACTCAAGCAATCGACTTTTGTACAAAGTCTGCCTTTAGTAAAAATGTTCAGAAGAACCCAATATATAGATAACAGATCTATATCTATATCAAAAAAACAACCGAATTTAGAAGCTACATCGTTGAAGTCAGTTGAAAAAGTCAATTGTTTTTGAAAATTAACAGATAATTGCAAAACTGCCACACTGGCAAGCTAAAGTTATGATAGCTTATCAAAGTGAAAGTAGTCTTGAGTAAAAAACTCACCGGCAGAGTGGTTGTGGGCCGCGACGTTGTTGGATACGGGATTGGTCTTTTCGATGTTGTAGTTATTTCTGTTGGTCTGTTATTAGTGGTAGCTTCAGTTGGTGTAGTTAATGTTGAGATCTCTTCCGTTGGTGTGTTCACTGTAGATACTTGTTCAGTTGTATCAGTGGGATTGCTAGCCGTCGATATATCTTCAGTGGTTGTCCCATAAGTGAATGTATTATCTGTGGTCACCGTTTGTGTAGTAGTTTCAGTCGTCGTAAATATATCTTCTGTATATGTTGATCCATAACTGGTTGAGAACTCAGTGGTTGCATTATCAACATATTCTTCTGAACTTGTTTGATCGCGTAGATTCGGCTGAGTTTGTTTTGTCTACAATTGTTAATGATGTTAACTGATAAGCTTGTGTAATTGAGAAATGCTTGTGATGTTAGTTATAGGTTAATTGTTCAAGAGAAATCGATCAAATGTGCAGACAATTTGTAGTTAATTGTACTTACTGTTGAAGATGCTTCGGTCTCGAAAGTGGGCATTATCGGTGTAGGTTCATTATTTCGAACAACAACTGTTTCGGTCATAGCAACAGAGCTACTGACGCTGCAGTCAGGAGTCGCTTCTTCTACTAATGAGACGCCTTCATCGTAATCTCCAACGCACTTGTACGTTCTACAACCGGGTAAAGATTTGGAACTATCTGGAAACAAACAATTTTAAATTACAAATCGTAAACATTTAAATATATTCTTAGTAATATTATAAAATTAATTGCTTTGTGGGCCTAAAATAGAATGAGTCACCTCTTCCTTTTCCGTGTGTGTCGTAGAAGACAAATAAGGGATAGGTAGCAGCGTTTTAAAACTACCAAATTCTTTAAATTACCAAAGCCTAACTGAATGTTTAGCAATAGACAGTTAACAGATCACGGATGATTATAAACGTGAAAGAAAATTTTATCAAATAAGTAAAGTTTAGTACACGTTATACTTGGTCCGTAATATAAGAACCGTTCACTGATGTGTCACCACTTAACCCTTGAACCGTTCATAGCACTCATTCGAAAATAACGAGATAATTACACTATTGTGCAAGATGATTTAATTCTTACTTGGCTAGAAACAATTTTTACATAACCTGATCATTACAATAATCACCCATGCAACAATGATTAATTTAAATTTTAAAATTGTATAATAACAGTACCTAAAGCAAGTGTTTTCTTGCAGTACTATCATTAAAATCATCAATGACTCATTGTTTATAACGAAATATATCTAAACTTATACACGTGTTTATAGCCTACTAACTTCTAATCTCTCATTTCTACATGGAATAAAACAAAATCTACATAGTTTTTTCATAGAATTTTCATCAATAAATAGAGTGATTCAAAAAAAAGATTTGTAGACATAGTTTAACATTCTTTTGTGTACATTTGTGGAAATATAACGATAATTGTTGAAGACGTCGGAAGAAATTAAATCGACTGAGAGCTTTCATCGAAAACTCTGCCTAATCCCTTTGAGATATAACAAAACAATGTATGGTGGAATGGTTTCACTTTCATAGGCCAACAAAAAAATTCTGCAATAGCAAATGATTGATGCACAAAATGTAACCATATATACTCAACTTATCGTGCGAAGCCGGGGCGAGTCGCTATAATGTACACATTATTGGGATAGATTAAGTTAGGTTCTAAAGTATCTAAAGGCTGTACTTTTAGATTATTTAATCCAGCTTTCTTGTTACAAGTAACTACATACCTATAAATGTTTAGTAAATATTTTACAACGACTTGTGTTGTATCCTGCATTATAAATATTAGTTTATATGTAGATTTTGCTCAATAATGATCAGTTTTTATTTCACAAGGAAAACAGCAACTTAAAACGCCAGAAAATAAAATGGGACCAACGTAACAGTATTCCCTATCGATTGCAAAAAGAATTATGAAATTCGATATTAACAAAGTATTCATTTCACAAAAGAAATGCGTTAGAGCTATCTGTGGATTAGCGCCTATGGAATCATGTAGAAGCTATTTTAAAGATATAAAAATATTAACAGTTACGAGTTTATATATCTTAGAAATTGGAATCTTTGTTAAAAAAACACCCACAGTTATTTAATAAAAGTTGTGAAATTAATAAATTTATCAAAAGGGACACTACCAAACCACACATGCCTATATGTAAGAGTAGCCTCTATCATAAAAATTGTTTTGTGATGTGCATAAAAATTTACAATAAAATACCCCAGTCATTTCGTGAAATGCTATTTGAAATTTTCCGAAGAAAACTACGAAATTGGCTTATTGAAAAATGTTTTTACACGATAAAAGAATTTGTAAGTCTGAATGGTAGATTAGACTAAGAATGCACTTTATGTAATAATATTAATAATATGACATGTACAATTTTAATGCTTTATAACTATAATATTGACTATTTTTAAACGTTGACATAATTAACTAATTCAATGTAACAATTAGTATGTATTTAGAATAATTATTTGGACATACGTAATTGATACATTTTTACTTAACATGTGCTAAGACAAAATTTGCATGCCTTTAGATAAGGCGAAATGTGTAGCTCAGTTACCATTTAAGACCTTTGTACCACATTTCGAGCAAATAAATTATTCTTATTCTTAAATAACAAGTAATTGCAAATAATACTGTAAATATATTATAAGATTGTGACATTCTAAATAATTAAAAAGACTTACTTAATGGCAAGAGCGACAATGAATTTTGTGATTTACAGATATAGACTGGTTTCATGAACAACACTTCGTCATTTGATATCTTTACTGGATCCAGTGGTATCATATCTTCACGTAATTGTACATGGAAAAGAATTGTTCGTTTGTCCATATACATCCTTCTTATTTTAATATCTAAAATAACGTCACTGTCAGACAAATCTGTTGCACTCATAAAATTATATACAATCTGTTCAATATGTAAATCCAAATATTCGAAATCTTTAACTTCAAGGCGATTTTCTTCGATATATTTTGTTCTACAGAAAATGAACGTTTCTAAATTTGCTTCCCAATATTCCTTAATATACTTTTCCTGTTTATAGTCATATGGTCGTTCAAGACGAATTTTGATAGCATATCGACTCGCTAAGTATCTCTTATCACGCAGAAAAAGAACTTTTTGTGATTCAGTTTCATGTAAATTATCAGGATCGACATAAACACACCAGTAGTAACCATCGAAATCTGCTGACAGCCTATATATATTGTACTCGCTTTCATTTTTCTTTTTATCATGGAGTCTCACTTTAGTCGGATAATAAGTCTCGGAGTCTGTATAACAATAAATGTTGCGTTTATCCACCGAATTGTTGGTGAATAACAGAAGTTTATCTCTGAAATAAAGAATATAAATGATTTTTTAGTACTATTATAGCTGTAAACAAGCATACGACTTGTTTAATGGTAAACAATTACTGCATGTAGATACCTATACTACCAGGAATGTCACGCGTTGCGGACCCTTAACATTCTAAAACATTGGAATATTGTCATGAAAATGTTAATAATAAAATAACAGAAAAATCTGATTGATTGATTAACTCACAGTCAAGTGATGATGATGATGAAATTCAAAAGAAAATTCATAATTTTGAAAATAAGTTAAGTTGATTTGTTGCTCCGGCTGATTTGTTGGTCACTTAAAAAACATTTTTGTAAATCCTTATGGTACCTTATGCAAAATATTAGGAGACAATAAAATTGACAATTAACAATGTTGATTCTATATTTTTTTATACCACAAAATCGGCATACAGCCCATCTGATGGGAAACGGTCACTGTAGCCTATGGACGTCTGCAACACTAGGGGTGTCCCGTAAGCGTTGACGACCCTAAAGAAACCTTAATATATCCTTTTTAAAGAATCCCACACTGTAGTCTCTAGAGAAAACCTCGGCAGGAAGCTCATTTCATAGCCTTTCGATGGAAAAAATTCCTTTGAAACCGCACTGACCGAATCGCATTACATTACTGATACTTTATTTTTATATCCATCAGGATTTACAAACTGATATGACAAATCTTGATAACTTTCCAAGTCTATTCATCACGATGGACTAACTGACCTACTTTCATCTTCACCTATCATCCCTCACTAATGTACCGGTGAATACTGGTAGCACAAGCGAGGTTCCCGTTCCATTGTCATCCATTAAAAAAACTTTAATAATTTAAAAAATATATCATTAAGTCATTGTCATGACTTTCCTTATTACATTTATTCAATTTCTTTTTAAAACATCAGCTAACTCTCTTCCTCCTTCAGTCATTGTTCTTACATTCCAACTAGCATATTGGTGATATGTAAATACTTACGAATTGATAGTTAGATTTAAAAATATATTTCTTGGTTGAACAGAATGTTCGCAGATTACGTTGTAGAAGATTATGGAACTGTTGACCTCGAACACAGTATCATTCTTGATACCAAAACTCCCTACAGTGTAGTATACTAAGGTATCCATGTTAAACAATAGTCCCTGAAACATTAAAACAAGAAAATATTTTAGTTTGTCATAGAAATAAGCTTGTGCAAATAGAGATTTACTTGCATTATGATAAATAATGACTATTATTATTACTATTATTATTGAAAGTACCGCCAATAATAGAAAACATGAGAAGTAGTCGTTTGTCATAGTATGGATATGGAGTGATGCGTAAAGAAGAGAATGTAGTAAAAAATGTATTACGTATGAATATGAATGGTTATAAATACAGAGGAAGACCAAAAAAGATATAGATGAAATGTGTGAAAGATGACATGGCCAGAAAAGGAGTGACTAGCGAGATGATTGCAAATAGAGATGAATGGAATAAGAAAACATATTACGGCAACCTCAAATAGATATGAGAAAAGAGCAGAAAGAAGAGTGACATCGCGGGTACATTGTGCATGCATCATAGTACATTTTAAAACGTCTATTGGCGACAATTACTATTATAAATTAGAGCTGTCACCTTTACCATTTAAATTTATATTAAAAAAAATACTTACATTCATTTCTTCGTGAAACGGAGGATCAAACGGTATGAGCGATACACCCGACTTGTAAAACAAAGGAAAGTTTGCATACTGCCATCCTCTATTGAGCAAGAATCCACCATTTTTAACACAGAGTGCCTGCGACTGTTTCCACGTCGCCCTAACAGGGCCTCCACCGTGACCTGACACGTTGAACAGGCAAATTTCCCTGGGGCCGATAAATCTCCAAGACTGATGGTAGTCATTACATCCCGTTCTGTCAATTCCAATCTCTGTTTCAGGATAGGGTTTTACTATGCAGTATCGAAAATGTTTTTCGTCACATCGCACGGCAGTATAATCTCGAAGTTTATTTACAATTAAACATAAATCCTGGTATGTGTCGTAATTAGGAAATACCGTTGCATTGTAAATTATGTCTTGATAATCAGTACGAGATGTGCCAATAAATGGACCTCCAGGATAAGCTAACTTGTAATCAGCCCACACTATGTCCACTTCGTCGATTTTAGGTATAATTAGATTGCGATACAATGCTTCAGTGTACAGATTCCCATCGCAATTATCCAGTTTGCTAGCAAATTCTTCAGGTTCCTTCAGCTTATAACATACATAATTATCACTAAATCTAATGTAAGCTAATTTGAATCCTAACGGACATAAATACACTCCGGACCTCTTGGCTTCTGATACTTGAATGCATAATAGGAAGACGATGGCATACAATATAATTCGATGTGGCAGACGCATCTGGAAATAAAAAAAAAGTGACGCGTCATTTTCTGTGTGATCTACCCGCAGTTATCTAATCGATTGTAGTAACAATGGTTAAAATAAACAACATTAATCAACCACTTAAAAGGTTTTCCTGATATTCTGATATTAACATATCTGTTTGCTAGGAAAAAGGAGTAAATCTGTTTGTGTTGTTAACAAGATTTTGTTATTACATTGGTAAATTCGAACTCTGAAACTGCTTTGAAAACCTCTAATTTTATAACCATTGCGGTTGATTTTAAGGCACAATTTCTCTAAACTTGTCTCTTATCCTAATTTTGTAATTTGATAGTTTCACGAAATTACTGTTTTATAGACTACTCATATCATAAACTAAACCAATCCACAACTCCCACTCCTACACCAAATCCTTTACAGTGCAAGCTGTTTATTAAAGTGGAGAACAGAAAGCGATATTAAAATATTAAAATACGTATAATAAGCAGAATAAAATGTTACAATCAACAAGATGCTTAGCAACGAACATTGTCATCGATAGACACAGATAATTAGGTCGTATATCTACAACTCATACTCCTAACATCCCGTCTACTTTTTATAGCTGCTGCTACTTATTCCAATGCGTGAGGACAATTCTTCTAATCTTGGTCTGTAGAGTGGCTTCGTGAACATATCGGCTAATTGATGTTCCGATGAGACATGCTTCACTAATAGATGCCCGTCCTTTACACATTCCCTGACATAATAATGCTTGCGCTTGATATGCTTTGTCCTTTTATGATATTCATATGCAGGGTTGTGAGCTAATTTTATTGCAGATTCATTGTCCACATAGAGAACTGGTTGCTTGTCTAGCTCCGTTAATTCAGATAGTAACTCTTTTAGCCAAATAATTTCCTGTGTTGCTTCACTAGCAGCTATAAGTTCAGCCTCTGTCGAAGATAAGGCTACTATTCCTTGTTTTTGACTTTTCCAACTTATAGCGCCTGAGTAAGAGCATATTATTCCTGTGGTAGAGTGACAAGTTTCTTGATCACCAGAGAAATCTGCATCACTGTAACAATTTAAATTTCCTGTGATATCAGTCTTAAATATTAGCCCCTTATCTACTGATCCTTTCAGGTAGCGAAGTATTCTTTTTACTCCAATAACATCCCGTTTCGTTGGTTTTTCTAAATTTCTGGAGGCAACACTCACTGCGTAACTGATATTTGGTCTTGTCCCTACCATTAAATATGACAGTGCTCCAACTGCCTGGCGATAAGGAAATTCGCTTTCATCTAGAGACGTATCTTGACTATTTTCTTTTATTATTGGTGTTAAAGCCGGTTTGCAGTCAGACATGCGAAATTTTTCTAGTAATTTCTTTGTATAGGCTTTCTGACTTAATGTTATATATCCATCATTAGATCTTTCTAGTTCGAGTCCTAGAAAATAACTTGCAGGCTTTGTCGTAATCTTAAAGCGTTTTTGTAACTCTTCAAGAAATTTCTTTCCTTCTTTCTCTGATGTTGACGCTACCAATCCATCATCAACATATAATCCAATAATCACTTTAGACAGGCCATTCTTTCTGATGTATAAACAAGGATCAGACTGGCTTTGTATGAATTTAGAATTTATTAAAAACTCATGTATACAAGTATTCCAGCAACGTGGAGCCTGTTTAAGTCCATATAGGCTTCTTTTCAAACGGCAGACCCTATTTGTACCATCGTTATTACCTTCAGGTTGTTTTATAAATATTTTTTCTTCAACTGATCCGTTGAGGAATGCTGTGGATACGTCGAATTGACAAAGAGATAAATTTTCTTTTGCAGCTACCTCTAGCATTGCTCTAATTGTACTCAAGCGGACAACTGGGCTTAATGTCTTATCATAATCCACACCAGGTTTTTGTGAAAAACCTTTTACAACTAACCTAGCTTTATATCGATCAATACTTCCATCAGGATTCGTTTTTATTTTATAAATCCATTTACTAGAAAGAGCTTTCCTACCTTTAGGTAGCTCCACGAGATCCCAGGTTTGATTCTCTTCTAGAGAAGTCATTTCACTCAGCATCGCTTCAAGCCATTTCTTTTTATCTTTACTTTTCATTGCTTCATTGTACGTTTCAGGTTCTTTTTGTGAGTTCATTACCTCTTCTGAAGCAGTCATCACAAAGTCGTCAAATCTTGTAGGCGCTCGTAAATAATTACGATTTCGAAGTGACCGTTTAACTTCTGTTTGAACTTCTTCATGTGTCTCTTCGTCATTTGTTTCAGCTTGGCTTTCCGAAGGTCTCGTTTCTTCTACCAACTCGATATTTCCTTCATCATCTGTCTCAAAATCATTGTTAATCGATTCATATTCGCTTTCAGTTTCATTTGGGTCAATGTTCTCTTCATTGATTATAGTTTGTTTTTTATCTCTCTCTTCTAGTTTTTCAATATTATCAAAGAGCAGATCTACATAACCAGTTGTACTTGATTTATTTGCTGATTTATTTGAATTAAAGTTTTCTTTATAGAAAAATTTATCAACAAATTTCACATCTTTTGAAATCATAATTTTACCTTTTGTAGGTACCCAAATTTTAAAAGCTTTTGATCGTTCAGAATATCCTGCAAACATACCAGGAATGGCTTTTGTTTCAAATTTGTTTCTGTTTTGTTTATTTTTGAGAAGCATGTACGCTTTTATTCCGAATACATTAAAATGATTTAAAGACGGTTTTCTTCCGACCCATTTTTCAAACGGTGTCAAGTTGTCAATACTTTTATTTATACTTCTATTCGAAATGTAGTTCGCTGTACATATAGCTTCACCCCATAGAGTCATCGGTGCTCCAGATTCTATCATTAAACATCTAGCTTTTTCTAAAAGGGTTCTATTCTTTCTTTCAGCTATACCATTTTGGTGAGGAGTGTATGGAGCTGTTAATCGTCTTGTTATACCATTCTTCTTTAAAAACATTTCAAATTCATTATTACAGTACTCTAAGCCATTGTCTGACTGAAGACATTTTATTTTATTGCCAGTATAATTTTCCATCTCAGATTTAAATTCCATAAATTTGTCTAATACTTCACTTTTCTTTTTGATACAATATACACGACTATACCGAGTAAGATCATCGATGAAAGTAACAAAGTATTTGTTACCTGCATAAGTTTCAGACTTCATCGGTCCACAAACGTCAGTATGTATGATTTCTAATCGTTGTGTAGTACGAGGAACAGTATTAGCTTTAGATGGTAGTCTTTTTATTTTGGCTTGAATACAAATTTCACAATCTCCAAGTTTCTCGTTTAAACCAAATTCTAAACCTTTTAGGCTTTTATTTCTTAAAGCAAACTTCATGTCATTTTCATTCATATGACCAAGTTTCCTGTGCCAGTGATGAATTTTGCTTTGATCTGTGTAATAACATGTTTGAGATTTATTTAGTTTGGCATCAACATAGTATAAACCATCGGCTTTTCTATGTGCTTTCAAAATCACACCTTCATCTTTGTGAGTAACTACTGCCTTATTTTTTGTAAAGAGTACAGTACACCCATTTTCGGTAATCTTACCAACAGATAAAAGATTCAGTGACAAATCTGGTACATATAATGTGTCACATAATTTAATTTCTCCTTTCTTTTCAGGTTCATTTAACTGTAAACATACTAAACCTTGTCCTTTTATTTCAGCAGCACCATCGTTAGACGCTAATTTTAACGTTTTGCAAGTGTTTTCTAAATTTTGAAATATATTTCTTTCATAAGACATATGTGAAGTGCATCCGCTATCTATGATCCATTCATTTTTGTTTTCTTCCTTAGATACATATAGACAAATCGCAATATTATTTTTATTTACGTCTTTGCTATCATGACTTGATTTTATATTCGTCTTATTTTTGTAGTATGATGACTTCTTTTTACAGTTTTTAGTATTATGTCCTTTTTTCTTACATATCTTGCAAAAAGCATAATAAACTTCTTCATTACTTGTGCTTGCATCTTGAGAGGATAAATGTTTTCTCGCTTCCGATTCTTCAATAATTTTGATCTTAAGATCCTCAGGTTTAGGTAACGTGTCTCTCGATTCTATCGCTACTCTAAAATTTTCATAGTCTGGCGGCAAGGTGTATAGCATCATAACTGAAAGTAGATCGTCATGAATACTTATATCCATTTGATTTAACTTTTCAACTATATCCATAAACTTATTTAAATGTTCACGTATATCATCGCCATTTTGTAATCTACTCAGAATTAGTTGTTTTAATAGACTAGCCTTTCTTGCCGGACCTTTGCTCGAATATATATCATTGAGCTTTTGCCACATTTCATGTGCAGTTTCACATTTTTTTATTAGTTTAATTTCTGCTGCAGACATCAATAGAATGAGTTCTGACTGCGCTAGCAAGTCTTCTTCTTTAATTTTAGGATCCTCATATTCTATGTCTGGAGTTACTACGTATTTCCATAGCTTTTGTTTAACAAGGACTGCTTTTGCTTGTAAGGCCCAAGTATCATAGTTATCTTTATTTAATTGTTCTATTTTTCCATAGGAGGCCATTTTATATCGTTATTATTTGCTCTGCTACCATATTAAAGTGGAGAACAGAAAGCGATATTAAAATATTAAAATACGTATAATAAGCAGAATAAAATGTTACAATCAACAAGATGCTTAGCAACGAACATTGTCATCGATAGACACAGATAATTAGGTCGTATATCTACAACTCATACTCCTAACACTGTTAGACTCTAGAATTCCCTCCCAAATTACATCAGAATGGCACAGACCGTCCATGCCTTCAAAGCTCAAACAAAAAGATTTTACAATACAATTGACAGTTGAGTTACTTATATGTATAATATTATAGTCATTCTATGTTTATATATATATATATATATATTATCCTTTCGGGGTCTCAAGATTGACTGGAAGGAATCCCTTTAAGAGATAAGTCCGCCTGTGTGCATTTTTATAAATGAATAAATATATTAAATTTTATAATTATTATATTATTTGTTTTAAATGTATTAGAAATTTATTTCATATTTCTCTTGAAAATTGGGATTTGATTTATATTTAATTGAAATTTTAATTTTAAAGATAGCTTTTGAGTAGTAGTCCCTCATAATAGACTCCATTAACTATATTTAAATATTCTTTAAATATAAGAATATCAATTTGATAAATTATGTAACTATATTTATTAATCCGCTAGCTTTTACCCGTAACTTTGTCCGGTGTAATTGGGATATGTTCATTGACATAAAAATTAGTCTATATCCTTCTTGGTCCCATCATCATATCAGCCGTTAAGGGTCCACTGCTGAACATTGGTCTCCCCCATAAGAGAAATTATCTATCCCATATAACTGTATACTAAATTTCATAGTGGTTAAACCGTTTAAACTCTAAAAGGCAACTAACACGCATTGGGGGGAAAGGGATTGTTAGTAATGAGGTCAAATAGCCCCATTACTAGCAATATACACTGTCAGGTCGACCTCCACCTGGTTCCCCTTAAAAACCATCGTGGCTAATTCTAGTTGAATTCGTCAGAATGGGCTAACTGACCTGCTTTCGTCCTCATCAGTCATCTATCACTTGTGCCCTGCCAATGTATACCGATAGAGCCGACGGGTTTAACGTACCATTTTTTTTAATGGGTGATAATGGTATGGTAACCCCACCTGCGCTATCGGTATACACTGGCGGGGTACCAGTGAGAGGTGATAGATGAGAATGAAAAGGCAGGTCAGTTAGCCCAATGTGACGAATTCAATTGTAAATTAGTCACGATAGTTTCCAGGGGGAACCGCGTGGAGGTCGACCGATAGGTGATAGTAATGGAGACTAACCTCCCCATTACTAACAATCCTTTCCCCCCAATTAACGTACCATTAGCACCCATTAAAAGAAACTAACACACATAATATCAATAAGGATTTTGTTCTACCATAAGTCTTAAATACTTGTTGTGAAAGTTGAGCATAATTATTTAGTGAGAACACTCTCCTAAAAAAATACCGCTGTATTTAATTATACGTACAAATATTACCTTCAAAACATTGAAATGTTTTCTGTCGTGTATCTTTCTTCACTTTTCATTTTATGTGTCTACAAACTCCTACAGGAGCTAAAATTTTCTGAATCTTCATACCAAATGAAGTCCGCCTTATATGTGCCAGTATCTGTAAAAGAATTATTTATATTAAAATTAATTTAGTTGAAATATTTATATTGTTATTGTGAATAATTAAGGATTTTCTTATACAAAAGTTTTAAAAATTAAACAAACGATAAATGACTGCGTTGTATTCCCATGAGACAAGAGACAAGACAAGTTTTGATGTAGTGGTTTTCTTTTATTTTTTCTAATTATAACATAATTAAGACATTGTGATATATGAAATTTACTAATATTTATATTAAAAGAAGATTTGCACGTCATTTATGGTAAAATATGGAGGCGTAATAACCTATTAATGTAACATCTGTAATACCCATATTTGAGCAATTTAATTATATTATTATTATTAAAAAAAACTGGTTCCAATTGTGTTAAAATTGGTATGACAGCAATATGACCTTTTTTATACTACTTTGGTGGCAAACAGGCATACGGCACATCTGATGGTAATCGAGTTTTTTTTAATGGATACTAATGAAATGGCAACCCCGCCTGCGCTAACGGTATACACTGGCAGGGCACCAGTGAGTGATGATAGATGAGAATGAAAAGGCAGGTCAGTTAACCCATTATAATAAATACACCTGGAATGCAACACGATGGTTTCCAGGGAGGACCACGTGAAGGTCGATCTGACAGGGAATACTGCTTGAAATATGACTCATAGATGATATTACTAACAATCACTCTTCCCTGGTAAAAGTGGTTACAGTAGTCCATGGACCCCGTGCTAGTTTTTAGCGAAGACCTCGGAAGGAAAATCATTTCACAACTTGAGTATTTGCAGGGGGAAGCTCCCCTGAAAGTGCACTGTTCACGACCATTCTGATTCTAAGGTGTGAAGATTTATTTCCTGCCAACGACGAAAGGTGCGATAGTGAAAGGTGGCTGTAGGCATCATATCGAAAAGTTCATCAGAACACAATCCGTTGTACAGCCTCTTTTGATAAAAATATCTTTTATTAACGTAAACCTAATTATGAGCATTTATAAATAGTCATTACTTGTGTTTATATTTCATTTTCAGCTAAACAAATATGAGAAAAACCCAGCTATTGGATTTTTCAAATAAGAATTGCGTTTCACAAGTTATTGTGTATGACACAATGACTGTCGCATATAGCAATATTATTAAAAACTTTTATAATCTCTCATAGTACTCTCATCTCACGACAAAATGGTGTTCTAAAATCCACACATATGAAGTCACAAGTACAAGCTACAGTATTAGTGAGGTTATTTATTATTATAAGTACTTATAATACCTTTAGTACCACGAAGTGTTGCTGATTGAAATGATAAGTTATTGACAGCATTTCTTTTGTACGAGGTTTGTCCGGAAAGTACGTATAAAAGTTTTTTAAAAATTTTATTTTACAATTATTCAGGTAAATCAATTTTATCCCCTTCAAAGTACTCCCCCTGTGACATAATGCACTTGTGCCAACGCCGTTTCCACTGTGAGAAGGCTCCTTGAAAGTCCTCTGGTTGTAGGTTTCTCAGCTGCCCCGTCGTAGCTTTTTTTATCTCATTTATGTCCCCCAAATGCCGCCCCCGAAGTACCAATTTGGTTTTTGGGAACAAGAAGAAGTCACACGGGGCCAAATCCGGCGAATAGGGGGTGTTCGGTCACCGTAATGGAATTTTTACTCAAAAACTCACGGACAACAAGAGAGGTGTGGGCAGGGGCATTGTCGTGGTGAAGAATCCAACGCCCAATCCAATCCTGGACGAACTCGTGCCACACGAGCTTTGAGGCGTCTGAGCACATCGACGTAGAATTTTCCATCAACTGTCTGGCCTGGAGGGACGAATTCTTGATGGACAATCCCCCGAACATCGAACTCTTTCTCGGCCCTCTCTGAATCTTTTTAGCCACTTGTGGACGGTTGGTTCCTTCACAGCATCATCCCCATAAACTGTTCTGAGATCGGCAAAAATTTCACGGCCATTCTTGCCGAGTTTCGAGAGAAACTTGACACATGCTGCGCTGCTCTTCAACGGAAGCGGGCTCCATGCCGACGGGGTTTCGTTAAGAGGTATTCACAGATGGCGTGACAAGCCAGTTCGCACCGCACGGCGGTCAGACCAGAACTGAAGCATTGTTAGGGACATAAGGAAGGGGTCCTGCGCTTACCTGGCCTCCCCACTCTTTCTCGCATTCCAGAACACTTTTATACGAACTTTCCGGACAGACCTCGTATTACAGCATTGAGATAACATTTCGTTCCGTCTTGCGAGTCTACCATAAAACTAAATTCCAAGCTTCAGATCTGAAATCCGTTCATCGATGATACACGTTTATTTGTATAAATGTAATCTTTTTTTATACCACAAAGGTGGAAACAAGCATATAGCCCGTATTGTAAACGGCCACTATAGCCAATGGACGCCTGCAACACTAGGAGTGTCACGTGCGCATTGCCGACCCTCTCTAGAGAAACCTCGGCAGAGAGAAAATTTATCTGAAACCGCACTATACGTGACCATTTAGGATCAAGCGTGTGAGGATAAATTCCCTGTCGACGGCGAGCGGTGCGATGTTAAAAGGTGGCTGTGGACATCTAATGTATAAAAATGGAACCCATTTTATATTCGTTATATTAAACGACCATTAAAACTGGCCATTATCTCACCGTATTTATTCTTCTCTTCTAAAATTTATCACAACGTGATCTTTATTTTTACTAATATTATAAATATGAAAGTGAGTTTGTTTGTTACCTTTTAGCGGTTTAACGGCTTAATCAATCAATATGAAATTTAATATACACGTAAATTTTGGGATGGAGAAGGAAATAGCCTACTTTTTATTCCGATCAGTAAACATATCCCGGACGGACAAAGTCGTGAGTAAAAGCTAGTTCGTCATCAATCCTACCACAATGCATTCAAACGATCACAAATGTACAATTTAAACATTTCCTTTAAAATAGTTAACAATAAATTCATGTTTCATTCGGCTTCGAAATTTTGGAAAAAAATTCATGGTAGATTAGACATGATTTCGAAAACACATTTTATGCGAGATAAGCGACTGATTACGGAATACACACGTTGTGGTATTTCTATTTGAACGATAAGGAAATATAGTCACTGACAAGTGAGACATACTTCCTTAGTTCTCAAGTGTCTACTTATGGGTGTGTCATGAGCACTAAAGTATCTCACAATCTGATATCACATAAAGGAATCATGATGTATATATATATATATATATATATATATATATATATATATATATATATATATATATATATATATATATATATATGTGTGTGTGTGTGCAAGTTTGGACCGGTAACTAAATTAGACCACCCTCATACTATTACGTCTTAGGTATAACTCGTGCTCGGTGTAGGTTCTTGATAAGAGGAATAAGTAGAACTTAACTGGCCATACGTGTTTTATCTGCCCACAGGTAAAATAAAACAAAACTCATTTGTACGACGGTACTTTAACGTTAACAAGTAAAATTAGAGTTACCTGAAGCTACTACAAGCTAGCTTCAAATAACTTTGAGTTTGCTATTGTGTATTACAATAAAATATTTAGTTACTGTTAATCTAATCTTTGAAGTGAACTTGAATTTGAAATAATAATAGTTCATTGCATAACTCAGTTTATAATTTTATATAGTTCTGTTTCCTGAAATAGCGTTAGCTGTGTATTAAGAATCAGTTCCTTCTCATTTACATAAATCAATTCATAACTGGTGTAACAACTAAAAACCAGTATTAAATTATACATTAAGAAATAATTTGGACTTATACCAACAAATTGTTAAATAGATATTTTCATTACCTCAAAACTACAGCTGAAAATTTAGCAAACAATATTTGTAAAAAATACACATACGAGTTTTATTTATTTATCGTGTGTGTGTGCGTGTGCATATACGTGTGTGTATACGGGTGCGTGTGCGTATGCGTATGCGAATGTGCAGGCGTGTGCGCGCGCATGTGTGTGTGTGTGTGTGCATATAAGAATATGTTAGTGTGTCTATATATGTGTGATTTTTACGACATTAACATTTGATTTTTATTTAATCGGAATAGTATTTACTATAAATCAAATCTTTTCTGCAGCTATGCTCAAAGCCATGTAGAAAAATATTACAGCATAATTATTTATTTTGAATCCAAAAGATTTTCCTTACCTTATACGTCACACGTTAAAAGAACCAGATAATCAGAGGGCCTACCATGAGTAATTTTCCTAAATTTCGGGGACGAACGAAACAGAAATTTGATGTTAAATTTACATAATACATGCCGTTTAAAATTATTAAAAATGTTAAAATATCATTCTTATTATTAGGATAGGATTTATGTTAAATGAAATGTTAAGTTCCATTTACTGGATCGATTTCGGTACGAACAAAAACACGAAATTGAGCCCGAAAATTCGGAATTTCATTTCATGGTAGACCACCAGAGTCGAAAGTGTATTTGAAATTGGAAGCGTTTTTTTTTTTTTTATTTATTTTAAATTCGTTTCGTCTGATGATAGATGACAAACATGATAGTTCTAGTTTCTAGGAGTTACACGAGTTAATTGGATAGTGATACAAATTACTCTCGTCATCATTAAAGGTTGAGATTTCTATCACGCAACGATTCTTCTTGGAACACAAAGAAATTGTTTAAGAGGGAGGCCTTGTAAAGAGGACCTTGCTTGAAGACCGCAACGCCAATTCCTGTCTAATATTGTATTTATTATCATACTAGCTTTTACCTGCGACTTTGCCCGTATGACTGAGATATATTTATTGACCGGATCCGTATAAATGGGATATGTTTATTGACCGAAATAAAAAGTAGCCTAAATTCTTCACCTTCTCATATATAAATATATGTATACCAAATTTCCCAACGCAAAATTAAGCTGGGAGTTAACAAAATTTATTTTTCCATTGCTAATATTAGTTGGTAAGGATATAAAAATACCTTCCATTATTATATTTTAGTGTCAATGATTCCTTCCATTTTAGTTTGTAAA